GGTGAAAGAAGGGTGATTAGAGACAAATGTGAGGCTTTTCCTGCCCATAGGTTCCTCGCACCTTTGAATGCGGAAGACCAGCTGGGCAAACCACATGACCACGCCCCACCCCACCATGCTGCTGATTGGTCCATGCTGGCATAGACACTTGCCCCGCCCCCCAGCTGGACCAATCAGATCCTCAGTATGTGGGGCTGTGACATAGAACCATTTCCCAGAGCCACTTGATGGGCAGGAGGGATTGTTGACCCCCGTAATAGGGAGTCGGAAATTCGGGCTCAGGAGCAAGTAAGGGGTGTAGCTCCCATTGGAACCCAGGACCATCTGGTTTTTTTTTGTTTTTTTTTTTTTTTGCGACAGAGTCTTGCTCTGTCGCCCACGCTGGAGTGCAGTGCAGTGGCGCGATCTTGGCTCACTGCAGCCTCCACCTCATGAATTTAAGCAATTCTCTCGCCTCACCCTATGGAATAGCTGGGATTACAGGTGTGTGCCACCACACCTGGCTAATTTTTGTCTTTTTAGTAGAGATGGGGTTTCGCCAAGTTGGCCAGGCTGGTCTTGAACTCCTGACCTTAAGTGATCCGCCCGCCTCAGCCTCCCAAAGTGCTGGGATTGTAAGCGTGAGCCTCTGGGCCCGGCCTCCATCTGGTTCTAAACTCACTGCTGTTAAGCATCCCCAGGATGCTGTGAGAAACTCCCAGGCCATGGGGGCATCCTATGGGGAGATGTAGAAAACCGTCCTCCAGAAAGAAGGGAATTAGATGGGGTGCAACTTGGAAGCAAACAGAGCTGAACAAAAAGACGGCCAGAGAGAAACTCCATGTTTCAAGATCTGATATACTTTAAGGGGTAGATATTTATAACATCTGTGTGTTTTCCACCTCCCTCCATTAGAAGGGAGGCTTCAAGTCACCAGGGACCTAGGCATCTGGCACAGAGCCGAACACATCCAAGGTACTTGGTAAGGACTTCTTGAAAGTAATGAATCGATAGATGAATGCACAATGTAAAAAATTTACTTTTTGCTGGGCGTGGTGGCTCACGCCTGTAATCCCAGCACTTTGGGAGGCCAAGGCGGGTGGATCACGAGGTCAGGAGATCGAGACCATCCTGGCTAACACAGTGAAACCCTGTCTCTACTAAAAATACAAAAAATTAGCCGGGCGTGGTGGCGGGCGCCTGTAGTCCCAGCTACTCGGGAGGCTGAGGCAGGAGAATAGCGTGAACCCAGGAGGCGGAGCTTGCAGTGAGCCCAGATCGCGCCACTGCACTCCAGCCTGGGCCACAGAGGGAGACTCTGTCTCAAAAAAAAAAAAAAAAAAATTTACTTTTCCCGTTCTGTGCTGTGTGTTAACATCTCTGTCTATAATTCTACAAATTCAATACCTATTTTAGGCCTCAGGCAAGGGGGTGTTGTTCTGGGCCCCATTTTTTTTTTTGTGAAACAGAGTGTTGCTCTTGTTGCCCAGGCCACAGTGCAGGCATGATCTTGGCTAATCACAACCTCTATCTCCCAGGTTCAAGCGATTCTCCTGCCTCAGCCTCCCAAGTAGCTGGGATTACAGGTGTATGCCACCACACCCAGCTAACTTTTTGTATTTTTAGTAGAGATGGGATTTCACCATGTTGGCCAGGCCACCCACCTCAGTCTACCAAAATGCTGGGATTACAGGCAGATTTGAGATTGTTAATGGTATTTTTAAGCTATCATGCGAGCCCTGGACTTCTTATTGGAGAGATAAAGAAACCTCTGTCTGTTAAAGCACTCCTAGCTAATGTGGGGAACTGACCTATTTTGTTAACTGTTGTTATCCAGTGCAGGAACTATACCTGGCATAAAGTTGGTGCTCTTAAATTTTTCTTTCTTTTTTTTTTTTTTTGAGACAGGGTCTTGCTCTGTTACCCAGGCTAGAGTGTAGTGGTGCAATCATAGCTCACTGCAGCCTCCATCCCCTGGGCTCAATGATCCTTCGACCTTAGCCTCCCAAGTAGGTGGGACTACAAGTGCGCACTATGAGGCCTGGCTAATTTAAAAATGTTTTGTTAGCCAGGCGCGGTGGCTCACGCCTGTAATCCCAACACTTTGGGAGGCCGAGGCAGGTGGATCACCTGAGGTCAGTAGTTCCAGACCAGCCTGAACAAAATGGCAAAACGCCGTCTCTACTAAAAATACAAAAATGAGCTGGGTGTGGTGGCAGGCGCCTGTAGTCCCAGCTCCTTGGGAGGCTGAGTCAGGAGCATCACTTAAACCTGGGAGGCAGCAGTTGTAGTGAGCCGAGATTGCACCACTGCACTCCAACCTGGGCGACAGAGCGAGACTCCATCTCAAAAAAAAAAAAACATTTTTTTTTTGTGAATCAAGGGGTCTCACTATGTTTCACAGGCTGGTCTTGAACTCCTGGTCTTAAGTGATCCTCTCACCTTGGCCTCATGAAGCTTTAGGATTACAGGTGTGAGCCACTGCAATGGGCATTAGAAATTTTTTAAGCCAGGCATGGTGGCTCACGCCTCTAATCCCATAACTTCGGGAGGCTGAGGCAGGCAGATCACCTCATGTCAGGAGTTCAAGACCAGCCTGACCAACATGGTGAAACCTCGTCTCTACCAAAAATACAAAAATTAGCCAGTCATAGTAGTGCACGCCTGTAATCCTAGCTACTCAGGAGGCTGAGGTGGGAGAATTGCTTGAACCCAGGGGACGGGGAGGTTGCAGTGAGCTGAGATCGAACTACTACACTCCAGCCTGGGTGACAGAGTGAGACCCTGTCTCCAAACAAACAAACAAAAACAGAAATCAGATCGTACCCTTCCTTACATAAAGTCTCCACTCCCCAAGGCTTCTCACTGCCCTTAGTATAAAGTCCAGCCCTGACCTTGACCTCATGCCCAGAATCCTCCCCTCATCTACTCTCTCACCTCAGCTCCTTGCCCTTCACCCACACTGGCCTTCTTGCTGTTCCTCCAGTAAACCAACACCACACCTTCCTCAGGCCCTTTGCACACCCTGTTTCCTCCACCTGAAGGCTTTGCTTCCGGAAGTCCACCTGGCTGGCTCTTTCACCTCCTGCAGGGCTCTGCACAAATGTCACCTCCTCCGAGAAGCCTGCCCTGAACACCCTGGTGAAAATATCCCAGCCCAGCCACCCTCTAGCTCACCATCACTTTCTGAAAAGATCTTGATTTTTCTGTTTGCATGTTTATTGTTCATTTCCCACCCCTAGACCTAGGAATCGGGTCTATTTGTTCACTGCCCGGTGTAGAGTAGAGGAGAAGAAAAGTGCACACGGAAGGACTAAGTAAATGCAGGACGGGGAGAGAGTTACTGTGCTCAGCCTTGTTGGAATCGTGGGCTGCACTTTGGGGCCTCAACTCAACTTTTTTTGTTTTGTTTGCTTTTTGAGACGGAGTCTCTCTCTGTCACCCAGGCTGGAGTGCAGTGGCGCAATCTCGGCTCACTGCGACCTCCGCCTCTTGCGTTCAAGTGATCCTCCTGCCTCAGCCTCCCAAGCTGCTGAGATTATAGGCGCCCACCACCATGCCCGGCTAATTTTTGTGTTTTAAGTACAGACAAGGTTTCTCCATGTTGGCCAGGCTGTTCTCGAACTCCTGACCTCAAATGATCTTCCTGTCTTGGCCTCCCAAAGTGCTGGGATTACAGGTGCCTGTCCCCACACCCAGCCTAATTTTTTTTTTTTTTTTCTCGAGATGGAGTCTTGCTCTGTCACCCAGGCTGGAGTGCAGTGGCACGATCTCGGCTCACTGCAAGCTCCACCTCCCGGGTTCACGCCATTCTCCTGCCTCAGCCTCCCCAGTAGCTGGGACTACAGGCGCCCGCCACCACGCCCAGCTAGTTTTTTGTATTTTTTTTTTTTAGTGGAGACGGGGTTTCATAGTGTTAGCCAGGACGGTCTCAATCTCCTGACCTTGTGATCTGCCCGCCTCCCAAAGTGCTGGGATTACAGGCGTGAGCCACCGCGCCCGGCCATAATTTTTGTATTTTAAGTAGAGATGGGGTTTCACTATGTTGGCCAGGTGGTCTCCAACTCCTGACTTCAGGTGATCTGCCCACCTCCATCTCCCAAAGTGCTGAGATTATAGGCGTGAGCTACCGAACCTGGCCTCTGAATTTAACTTCATCCCTATGATCTGGGAAAGGGATGTAAAAAGATAAACACAATCCAAGCATTGATTCCAGTGAGTTCAGGTCTAATGATAATGATAATATCAGCAAACACTGATAGTGCACCAGGCACTGTTCTAAATAAATAAATAAATGTTCTGAATGGATTAACTAGTTTAATTCCCTTTTTTTTTTTTTTTTTTTTTTTTTTTTTTTGAGATGGAGTCTCGCTCTGTTGCCAGGCTGGAGTACAGTGGCATGATCTCGGCTCACTGCAACCTCCAACTCCCGGGTTCAAGCTATTCTCCTGCCTCAGCCTCCTGAGCAGCTGGGACTACAGGCGCGTGCCACCATGCCTAGCTAATTTTTGTATTTTTAGTAGAGACGGGGTTTCACCATGTTGACCAGGATGGTCTAGATCTCCTGACCTCGTGATCCACCTGCCTTGGCCTCTGAAAGTGCTGGGATTACAGGCGTGAACCACTGTGCCCGGCTTGCTAGTATAATTCTTGTAATGACCTTATGATCATTACAGTTGGGATACTCTTGTTATCCTCATTTTACAGAGGAGGAAACAGAGGTTCAGAGAGGCTGAGTAACTTGCCCAAGGTCACAAAGCCAAGAAGGGGAAGAGCAAAGATTTGAGCCCTGTCAGTCTCACCCCAGAATCCAGAACTACTGCATCCCAGAAAATATCCCAAGGAACCTATTCCTGGGAGGAGGAGTCCACTTCCACCCTGGATGACCTCCACCCCCCAAGCTGACCCACCCAGGGCTGACCTCTGGGACTGAAGGAATGAACCCGGACCCCTTGCCAACTCTGAGCATCCTCAGGTCCCCAGTGGCCCCACCCCCACCCCCGGCCCGCATCTGCGCTGACCCTGCCTTGAGCTGAGTGAGCGCTTCCTCTACGCGGGGCTGGTTGTAGCGCATCATGTAGCTGTGCATATCGGGATAGTTGCTGCGGATGTTCTTCTCCGTGGACCCGTTGGGCACGGTCCCAAACTTCAGGGGCGGGTACTGCTCCTGGGGCCTCTGGAACTGGGGCAGAATGGGGAGTGATTAGGGCACCCTCCGCAGGGACATCCCTAACACAAAGCCCCCATTCCGAGAGACACCCGATATCTGGCAGGCACCCCGGTCCCAGAAGTATTCCGTATTTCTCAGCACTTGCTCACTACCTCAGGAAATGCTTTTTCACTCCCACCCAGCACACACAGTTGCAGACACGTAATCCAAAAGTTCATGAGAAGCCTCCCTGAGGCCCCTGATGTGCCAGGCGTTAAGCCTTCACTTACTGAATCGCGGGAGGTCCCGGGGGCAGAGACTGGCATGGCAGGAGCTGGGGCCTGTTGCTATTTACCAATCCGTTCAGAAATAGTTCACTATTTATTTATTTGTTTATTTATTTATTGAGAAGGAGTCTCGCTCTGTCGCCCAGGCTGGAGTGCAGTGGCGCAATCTCGGCTCACTGCAAGCTCCGCCTCCCGGGTTCATGCCATTCTCCTGCCTCAGCCTCCCCAGTAGCTGGGGCTACAGGCGCCCGCCACCACGCCCTGCTATTTTTTTGTGTTTTTTAGTAGAGACGGGGTTTCCCCGTGTTAGCCAGGATGGTCTCGATCTCCTGACCTCATGATCCGCCCACCTCGGCCTCCCAAACTGCTGGGATTACAGGCGTGAGCCACCGCGCCCGGCCTCACTTTTTTTTTTCTTTAAACGGAGTCTCGCTCTTGTTGCCAGGCTGGAGTGCAATGGCGCAATCTCGGCTTACTGCAACCTCCACCTCCCAGGTTCAAGCGATTCTCCTGCCTCAGCCTCCCGAGTAGCTGGGATTACAGGTGCCCGCCACCATGCCCAGCTAATTTTGTATTTTTAGTAGAGATGGGTTTCTCCATGTTAGCCAGGCTGGTCTCAAACTCCCGACCTCAGGGGATCCGCCTGCCTTGGCCTCTCAAAGTGCTGGGATCACAGGTATGAGCCACCGCGCCCAGCCAACTAAAACAAGTTTTGTAAAACCAAACTTACTACATAAGATGCAGTCAACTATTCTATTCTATTCTACACCATTCCATTAAAAACTGCTTATTGCAACCCATCAAACTGATTTCTCAAGCCTCTAATAGGTCATGTCACCCAGCTGGTTAATCACTTTAGTCTCAAAGTGTGCTCTGCAAACCACCAGTCCCTCAACAAATGGTGATTGCAGTGAGGTGCGTACAGGAATGGAGGGAGTGAGCATTTAGAACGATTTGACAGGATTGTTATTTGTCTGTTGAATCTAATAAATAAAAATATGAGTTTGGCTCTCTTTTTGAGGCAGAGCCTCACTGTGTCACCCAGGTTAGAGTGCAGTAGTGTAATCATGGCTCACTGCAACCTCCACCTCCCTGGTTCAAGCGATTCTCCCGCCTCAGCCTCCTGAGTAGCTGGGACTACAGGCACCCACCACCACACCTGGCTAATTTTTGTATTTTTAGTAGAGACAAGGTTTCACTATGTTGGCCAGGCTGGTCTCAAACTCCTGACCTCAGGTGATCCACCCACCTCGGCCTCCCAAAGTGCTGGGATTACAGGCGTGAGCCACGGTGCCTGGCCAGGTTTGACTTTTGTCTGTCTTGGTTTTAGACCTTATTTTACTTTTCTAATAATTCATTTCCGTTGAATTTTACAAAAGCATTGACTGCAATAGACTAGAAGTTTCTTTCTTTCTTTTTTTCTTTTTATTTTTTTGAGACGGAGTCTCACTCTGTGGCCCTGGCTGCAGTGCAGTGGTGCCATCTCCGCTCACTGCAAGCTCCACCTTCTGGATTCACGCCATTCTCCTGCCTCAGACTCCAGAGTAGCTGGGACTACAGGCGCCCGCCACCACGCCTGGCTAATTTTTTGTACTTTTAGAAGAGACGGGGTTTCACGTGTTAGCCAGGATGGTCTCGATCTCCTGACCTCGTGATCCGCCCACCTCGGCCTCCCAAAGTGTTGGGATTACAGGCGTGAGCCACCGCACCCGGCCTTAGGAGTTTCAAAAATTAATCTTTCCTCACAGTTTGAGAGAAGCACTGGTTCTAGAATATCCCATCTGGCACAACTGCCCCTAGAACATTCAAGGACACCCTCTTCCCTAGGAATATTTAAAATGGCGCATCGTGAACCGTGTTCTTTCTCCATCCACAACATTCCATTCTACCATTCTGGAATTCAGAGACCCCTTCCCCCCCCCCCCCCCCCCCCCCCCCCCCAAGAATCCCCTCTAATCTATCACATGCCAAGCTCTGTGACCTCCAGCCCCAGCCCATCCCTGGACCCACACACACCTTGCGATCACTGAGCCCGGACACGGTATCCACGTACTCCTCCTGGATCATGAAGGCGGCCAGGTTGGCTGTGTAGCTGGCGAGGAAGATGACGGCGAAGAAGGCCCACACCAGCACCATGATTTTGCTGGTGGTTCCCCGGGGGTTCTCCACGGGCACTGAATTATTGAACACCAGGGCCCAAAGCAGCCAGATGGATTTCCCAATGGTGAAGGTTGAGCCGCCAGGGCCTGCAGGGGGCCAGGACGTGGACATGGACTCCAAATCCCTTCTCAATAAGGGAGCAAAAGAAAGAACTACAATTCCCAGTGGCCCTCAAGGCATCTGGCGCCCTAGCTTGACCCCCCCCCACCCAGGGGCTGCTGGGAAATGTAGTTCTCTCTCTCTGTGGTTCGGGAGCTCTGAGGCAGGGGGATGGAGGAAGGGGGACTCACGCTTGCCCGTGGCCAGGCTACGGTTGTAGCCAACAGGACTGAGGTACTCGAAGATGAAAACAGTGACGGCGACCACAGTGAGGCACATGACGAACATCATCACCCACACAGCAGGGCTGTAGGGCTCTGGGGACAAGGGAGTGTGTGGTCATGGCTCAGCCAAGCAAAAGACTAGGGGATCAGGCCGGGGCCATGCCTCCCGCCTGTACTCCCAGAACTTTGGGAGGCTGAGGCAGGAGGATCACTTGACACCTGGAGTTCAAGACCAGCCTGGCCAACATAGTGAGACCCTGTCTCTACAAAAAAAAAAAACAAAAAAAACCTAGGGTACTACCTGAAGGTGAACAAGGTGCAGCCCAGATCTGACCCCATCCTATTCTGGCCCTAACTCTGCTTCTCCATCACCGAGATAGTCTTATGGCTCACCCACACCCCTAAGAGGCAGCCATTCTCAAAGAGAGCCATCACAGGCATTTCTGTGGTTTCAGCCACAAATAGAAACTGTCTCCTAAATGTTTCCTGAGTCACAGGCCCAAGCCTCCACCTACCCCAGCCATCCCCCCAGGCCATTCATCATGTCCCATGCTGAGCCCAGACTAGCTCCCACGCTCCCCATAATGGGAGCCCCACCATCCACCCAGTCACAGGCCCAAACCCCATGTGCCATCCTCCCTCCCTCTCCCTCGCTGGCCACAGCCTGTCAGTCTCCAGCCCCATGCTCCTGCCCCTGATGCTACTTGGGCCTCTTTTTTCCATTCTCATGGCCTCATCTCCCACCAACTATTTCCCCAGCCTCCCGAGCTCCCGTCTGTCCCCTACACAGCACAGAGACAACCTGGCCCCTCCCCTGCTTACAGCCCTCCCCGGACTTCCTAGCACCCCCAGGACAAAGTCCCTGCCACTCAGCCTTGTCAAACTCTCCTCTCTGGCCTGATCACTCTGTCAATCACCCATGCTTTAACTACTCAGAACTCACAGGTGGCTAGGTGTGGTGGTTCACGCCTGTAATCCCAGCACTTTGGGAGGCTGAGGTGGGAGGATCACCTAAGGTCAGGAGTTGAAGACCAGCCTGGCCAACATGGTGAAACCCCATCTCTACTAAAAATACAAAATTAGCTGGGCATCTTGGTGGATGCCTGTAGTCCCAGCTATTCAGGAGGCTGAAGCAGGAGAATTGCTTGAACCCAGGAGGTGGAGATTGCAGTGAGCTGAAATCGTGCCACTGCACTCCAGCCTGGGTGACAGAGCAAGACTCTGTCTCAAACAAAGAAAAAAAAAAAAAGAGAGAGAGAGAACTCGCAGGTGCCTGAACCAGTGACACCCTCTCTTACTTGTCTCCTAGGTGCCCCTGCTAGAGGTAACACCCTGCGCTGTCCTAGACAACCTCCCATTCACGGGTCCCCTCCTCACATTTGATAACCGTGTGTCGCCCCTGGAGCTCACCAACAATAAACCCAAATCACCATTTCATTGAGATTAGGACCAGGTGATTCAACTTCCCAGGGCCAAGTGTGAGCTGCCAGGACTGCCCCCGTCACAGCAAGGTCAGCACCCTGGACTGTCACTGCGGCAGCTGGGGACACGCCTGTCACCTCTGCTGGGCAACTTGGTGGGGCATAAATAGGACCTTGTCACTCCCCTGCAGTGTGCTGCCTGCAAACAGGGGCCCCACGTGGTGCTTCTCAGTGTGCCCTGCAGAGACCTTGGTGCAAAGAGGAGGCCACAGGAGACACCGTTGGGCAAAATAAACAGAAAACAAAACACAAAGGAAGGGATGGCTCTTCTTCCCGCCCCTCCCCTCTCCCAGGAGCTTTGCTCACACTTCAGAGAGCAAGTGGAAACTGACAAGCACTGTTGCCCTTGGCGGATGTACGCTTCTCTGGCTCAGCAATGGGCCATCTACCCTATCCATCCCAAAGCCACCAGCCCATCTGGTGGGCAGCTCCCTAACCACACCCTGCGTCTGTCTGTTGTCACCTTTCTATTGCACACCCCCACTCTGTCTCTGGCATGAGCCTTGCAGTAGCATCTCCACCAGCCACTTGCTTCCACAAACTGGGATTTTTTTCTTTTTTCTTTTTTTGAGATAGAGTCTGGCTCTGACATCCAGGCTGGAGTGCAGTGGTGCCATCTTGGCTCACTGCAACCTCTGCCTCCTGGGTTCAAGCCTTCCTTACACCTCAGCCTCCAGAATAGCTGGGATTACACAGAGCTGGATATTTTAAAAACCTAAATCTCATTATATATCCCCACACCATCTCTGTAGTTAAAACCCTTGTCCAGGTTCAGTGGCTCACACCTGTAATCCCAGCATTTTGGGAGGCTGAGGTGGGCGGATCACCTGAGGTGAGGAGTTTGAGACTAACCTGGCCACCATGGTGAAACCCCGTCTCTACTAAAAATACAAAAATTGGCCAGGCGTGGTGGTGCTTGCCTGTAATCCCAGTTACTTGGGAGGCTGAGGCAGGAGAATCGCTTAAACCCAGGAGGGAGGTTGAGGTTGCAATGAGCCGAGATTATGCCACTGCAACTGCATTCCAGCCTGCGCGACAGAGTGAGACTCTGTCTCAAAAAAAAAAAAAAGAGAGAGAGAGAGAAGTTTATCTTCTGTCTCCTTCACAAGGCTGAGAGATCCTAGCGGACAGGGATTTGTGTCTTCCTCCTTTGCCACTGTGTTCCCAGTGTGGAGCCCACCGCCTGGCACATAGTAGGTGCTCAGTAAACACTGATGGTGACTTAAGTGTTTACAAGGTGTTGGTACCATGCTAATTTGTTCTCTTCGTCTTATACCTAGGTACAGCAAAACACTTGGGTTTTGTGGGGCCTGAAGCTTGCACAATTTGGAGGGCTCTCTTTGAGAAAAAATAATTCAACCTTATGGATATAAACCAGGTGCAGCGTTTGGAAGCTGCAGAGCAAGAGACGGCTCCTGAGTTCAAGCTTCTTTAGCCTCTTGACAAAATGTCTTCTGGGCAGGGAAATTATTTCTTCCATCTTGTAGATTAGGAAACTGAGGCTCAGAAATGATGTCACTTCACCGAAGTTGCATTGGGGGTTCAGTATCCATGATACCGGGAACCCAGGTTTTCTGATCCCAGGGCCCACACGGTTAGAGGTGGCTACTTTGCCTAGGGCTGGCTCCCTGTCCCAGGGCCCCAGCTTACCGAGGAAGGCCGAGGGGGACACCGTGCCATTGCTGCGCGCCACCATGACGCTGATGCCGGTCTCCACGAAGGGGACGGAGAAGTCCACGATCTCGGAGCGCTCCTCGTTGATGGTAAGGGAGCCGATGGCCATGTCTGCGCGCTGGTAGAACACCTGGGGTGGGGGCGATGAGGAGTGGGCGAGGGAACCTGGCTCAAGCGGACAGACTGACACGTACGGCGGGCAGAGATGGGCCCCGGGAGCAGATCAGTGACAGGGTGAGGGAAAGGGCTAAAAGGGATTGTGGGGTGGGTGAGGAGGGAGGGGGACGCAGAGTGGGGAAAGGAAGGGCGGAGGTGAGAGATGGGGAACAAAATTGGGAATTGGTAGCCCGCGTCCTAGCCCGCTGCTCCCAGAAAGTCCTCAAGGCCTTGGTCCACATCTTCCCGGCCCCACCCTCTTCTCCTAGGAGTCCCACCCTCCTGGCCCCTCCTCCTCTGCCCCAAAGTCCTTCCTCCCAGCCCCGCCCCCTTCCCTTAGGCGTCCCACCCTCCTAGCCCCGCCTCCTCTGCCCCAAAGTCCCTCCTCCAAGCCCCGCCCCTGACACCTCCTGATCCTGCCCCTTGTTCCAAGGCCTGTCCTTCCCGCGGCCCCGCCCCAGGCCCCGAATCAGGTGTTTCTTCCATTTGGCCGCGCCCCTACCCCAGGGTGCCCGCCTCTTGTTTTTAATTTTTTTTTTGAGACGGCGTCTCGCTCTGTGCCCAGGCTGGAGTGCAGTGGCGCGATCTCCGCCTCCCAGGTTCAAGCAATTCTCCTGCCTCAGCCTCCCGAGTAGCTGGGATTACAGGCGCCTGCCCCCACGCATGGCTTATTTTTTGTATTTTAGTAGAGACGGGGTTTCACTGTGTTGCCCAAGCTGGCCTCGAACCCCTGAGCTCAGGCAATTGGCCCGCCTCGACTTCCCAAAGTGCTGGGATAACAGGCGTGAGCCACCGCGCCGGGCAGTGCCCACCTCTTCACTCCGCTCTGAAGATTCCCTGCCTCCCGTTCACCCCCTCACCTCCCCGATCATGCCGTTCCAGACGCCATCGATCTTCTTTCCGTGCTTGCCGTTGGTGACCAGGTAGAGGTCGTAGCTGAAGCCGATGGTGTGCGCCAGCCGCTTCAGAATGTCGATGCAGAAACCCTTACAGCAGCGCTTTTCCGGGCGGGGGGCATCCGGCGGAGGGCTGCGGGCAGTGACCAGGCTTGGGGAGTTTGGGGACCCCCTCCTTAGATTCTCCCATGAAGAGAGGATATGGAGGAAGGGACAGGCAGCAGCTAAAACTATGGTTAGCGCTTTCAGGGGGAAACTGAGGCTCAAAGAATTCTGAGGTTTGCCCAAGGTCACCAAGCTGGAGGGCTTTGTGGGTCCTGGGTCCCAAGGGAGGAGGTGGCTGGGGGCCCGGACTACTGGGCTTCACGGGAGGAGGGTTTTGGAGCCGGAACTCCTGGATCCCGAGCTGTCACCTGTGGGTTCGGTTGAGCTGGCTCCGGCAGGGGACGGAGTCTCGGATGCAGGTGCCACTGATGGGGTCTGCAGGCTCCACGATGACAAACGGCCTCTCCTCCAGCGTGGCCACCGTGAGATGCTGCGTGTCGTCCACTGGCTGCAGGAAGCGACCATAGCGGGACCACAGCGGGTACTTGAGGCGGAGCGTCTGCTGTTCCCAGCTGCCCACCTTGGCCAAAGGGAAGGAGAGTCAGGCTTCCTGGTGTATCCTGGCCATCATGATCCTCTTCCTCAGACCTAGGTGTGTGGGCAGCAGCTTCCTCCAAGATCCAGGAGCCCCTCCCACCTTCAGATCCCAGGACCCAGGAGTCCAGGCTCCCTGTCTCCTCCTCCCTCTTAGTCCAGGACCTCAGAACCCCCTCTGCCAGGATGCAGGAGTCCAGGCCCTCTGCCATGCCCGAGGTCTGGGCTGCGACTCACCACCTCCCACGTCCTGTCTCTGGTGAGGGAGATGACCACCAGGGAGGGGTTTACTAGGAAGCCATCCTCATTGAAGGAGTAATCCCGGTTATCCCACGTGATGTTCATGAAGTACCTGCCCAGGTGGAGGGAAAGGAGACGTGCTGGGACCTGGGCTGGACCTTGGCAGCTGAAGGCAGAGAAAGTCCCCTTTCTACCCATCAGCCCCAGCCCCGAGCTGGAATCTCTCCTTTCACCTCCAAGGGCTCAGAAACGCGAATATACCCCTTCCCTGCTCAGCACCCTCCCTTTGGCTGCCCAGTGACCCCAGGATAAGGTTCTAGACTCTCTTTCAGCTTGGAGTTGAGGCCCTAGAGTCCCCTTTTGTTCTTTCTTTCTTTTTTAAAGCACAGATGGGATTTGACTATTTTTCCCAGTTTTTAAAAAAAATTTTTTTTAGACAGAGTCTTGCTCTGTCGCCCAGGCTGAAGTGCAGTGGGCGTGATCTTCACTCACTGCAACCTCCACCTCCTGGGTTCAAGTGATTCTCCTGCCTCAGCCTTCTAAGTAGCTGGGAATGCAGGTGTGTACCACCATGTCCAGCTAATTTTTGTATTTTTAGTAGAGACGGGGTTCCACCACGTTGGCCAGACTGGTCTAGAACTCCTGACTTCATGTGATCCACCTGCCTCAGTCTCCCAAAGTGCTGGGATTACAGGCATAAGCCACCGTGCCCCGCCTCTTTCTTTTTTTATTTTTTTAATACATTTTTTTTTTTTTTTTGAAACAGAGTTTTGCTCTTGTTGCCCAGGCTTGAGTGCAACGGCATGATCTCGGCTCACTGCAACCTCTGCCTCCCAAGTTGAAGCAATTATCCTGCCTCAGCCTCCCGAGTAGCTGGGATTACAGGCGCCCACCACCATGCCCAGCTAATTTTTTGTATTTTTAGTAGAGATGGGGTTTCACCATGTTGACCAGGGTGGTCTTGAACTCATGACCTCAGGTGATCCGCCCGCCTCAGCCTCCCAAAGTGCTGGGATTACAAGCGTGAGCCACTGCGCCTGGCCTGGCTCACTTCTTTTTCTTTTCTTTTCTTTTCTTTTTCTTTTTTCTTTTCTTTTCTTTTTTTTAAGTAGAGGTAGAGTCTCACTATTCTCCCGGGCTCGTCTTGAACTCCTGAGTTCAAGTGATCCTCCCACCTCAGCCTCCCACGGTGGTGGGATTACAGGCGTGAATTGCTGTGCCAAGCCCCGACAGTCCGTTTTTGTTCCGGCTTTGCCTTCCTCTGAAGCCGCATATCTGAGACTTTCCCACTCTCAAACTCTTTTCACCCCAAAATTCTTTTTTTTTTTTTCCTGTGTCAACACTGGTTGCAAGGTGTCTCCCAAACATGTCAAGTGATTTCTTATCTCTAGGCCTTTGCAGATGCTGTTCTTTCTGCCTGAAAACCCTTATACCACCCCTTATCCTGACCAATTCTTCTTCTTATGTGTTTATTTATTTATTTATTGAGATGGAGTCTTGCTCTGTCATCCAGGCTGGAGTGCAGTGGTGCCATCTCAGCTTGCTGCAACCTCCGCCTCCCAGGTCCAAGCGATTCTCCTGCCTCAGCCTCCTGAGTAGCTGGCATTACAAGCACACGCCACCACGCCCGGCTAATTTTGTATTTTTAGTAGAGACGGGGTTCCACCATGTTGGTCAGGCTGGTCTTGAACTCCTGAACTTGTGATCCGCTCACCTCGGCCTCCCAAAGTGCTGGGATTACAGGCGTAAGCCACCGCGCCCGGCCTATTATTATTATTATTATTGTTTTGAGACGGGGTCTCACTCTGTCACCCAGATCGGAGTGCAATGGCGTGATATTGGCTCACTGCAACCTCTGCCTCACAGGCTCAAGTGACCCTTCCACCTCAGCCACCTGAAGAGCTGCTGGGACTTTAAATGTGCACCGCCACGCCCAACTAACTTTAATTTTTGTATTTTTGGTAGAGACAAGGTTTCGACATGTCTCCCAGGCTGATCATAAACTCCCAAACTCAGATGATCTACTTGCTTTGGCCTCCCAAAGTGCTGGGATTACTGGCATGAGCCACTGCTCCCGGCCTTGACCAACTCTATGTGTCTTAAAGACTGAGCTCAAACGTCTCCTCCTCCGGGTAGAAGTGCCCAGGGCCGGGGATGGCAGGGGGTGTCCTTGGACTCCTCAATATCTTCACTATGCAACATTGCCCTGTATACTCTGACTGCCTCTCATGTCACCCACCCAGTCACTGGACTAGACTCTCAGCTGCCTTCTTTCCTCCCCCTACCCAGCCCATCTGTCTCCAAGTCTCCTTCTTCCTGGCCTGGGGCTCTCTCTGCTCTGTCTTCTTCTGTGCCTCCCCACAGCCCTCCTAGGCCCTCACCCCAGCCTCCTGCCTGGCCTCCAGCCTCCAATCTCTCTACTCCAGTCTGTTCCCCACCAGGTCCCAGAGGCGTCTTTCTCTACCCAAAACTCATGCCACCCATCTCCTGCTCATCACCCACCCCTGGCTTGCCAGTGCTGTGGAACAGATCCAGGCCTCTCAACCAGGCATTGAAGGCAAAGGCCTGGTGCCACCCACCTCCCAGCCTTGTCACCACTCTGACTCTTTTTTTTTTTTTTTTGAGTCAGAGTCTCACTCTGTTGCCCAGGCTGGAGTGCAGTAGCATGATCTCGGCTCACTGCAACCTCCGACTCCCGGGTTCAAGTGGTTATCCTGCCTCAGCCTCCTGAGTAGCTGGGATTACAGGCACACACCACCGCAACTGGCTAATCTGTGTATTTTTAGTAGAGATGGGGTTTTGCCACGTTGGCCAGGATGGTCTCAATCTCTTGACCACGTGATCTGCGCGTCGGCCTCCCAAAGTGCTGGGATTACAGGCGTGAGCCACCATGCCTGGCCTGTCACTCTGACTCCTAATTCTGTGGCCTTCATCTGCTCAGAACTATTGTGGTCCCACCATCTGCCCAAGTTTCTCTCTACTCTGGGTTGTTGCACATACTGTTTCTCGACTGGAATACTATTTCCGGTGAACTCCCCACTACTCTCAGAATCAAGTCCAGGCTGGACGTGGTGGTTCACGCCTGTAATCCCAGCACTTTGGGAGGCTGAGGGGGGCAGATCACTTGAGGTCACGAGTTTCAGACCAGCCAGGCCAACATGGTGAAACCTCGTCTCTACTAAAAATACAAAAATTAGCCAGGCATGGTGGTGGGCACCTGTAATCCCAGCTATTTAAGAGACTGAGGCAGGAGAATCACTTAAACCCCGGAGGGAGGTTGAGGTTGCAGTGAGTCAAGATCGTGCCACTGCACTCCAGCCAGGCAACAGAGTGAGACTCTGTCTCAAACTAAATAAATAAACGAATAATGAAGTCCAAACCCCTGCCCCTGGTCTAAAGACCCTTCACAAGCTGGGCCCTGCAACTCTCTCCATCCACTACTCATACCTTCCTTCCCCTTGCCCACTATGTTCCAGCCACACCAGCATTGCAGGCTCCCAAACAGGCTTCCAAACAGGCAAGCTATAATTTGGATGTCTGTCTGCTCCAAAACTCATATTGAAATTTATGGCCGGGTGCAGTGGCTCACGCCTGTAACTCCAGCACCTTGGGAGCCTGAGGTAGGCAGATCACCTGAGGTCAGGAGTTTGAGACCAGCCTGGCCAACATGGTGAAACCCCATCTCTACAAAAATACAAAAATTAGCCAGGTGTGGTGGCAGGCACCTGCGGTCCCAGCTGCTTGGAAGGCTGAGGCAGGAGAATAGCTTGAATCCAGGAGGTGGAGGTTGTAATGAGCCTAGATCGCACCACTGCACTCCAGCCTGGGCAACAGAGCGAGACTTCATCTCAAAAAAAAAAAAGAAATTTCATTTACATTGTGATGGTATTGGGAATTGGGAGGTGGAACCTTTTTTTTTCTTTTTTTTAGAGACTGAAGCTTACTCTGTCACCCAGGCTGGAGTGCAGTGGCGCAATCTCCGCTCACTGCAAGCTCCGCCTCCCAGGTTCACGCCATTCTCCTGCCTCAGCCTCCGGAGTAACTGGGCCTATAGACGCCCGCCACCACACCGGGTAATGTTTTGTATTTTTAGTAGAGACTGGGTTTCACCGTGTTAGCCAGGATGGTCTCGATCTCCTGACCTCGTGATCTGCCCGCCTCGGCCTCCCAAAGTGCTGGGATTACACGTGTGAGCCACCGCACCCAGCCCTCGGAAGTGAAACCTTTAAGAAGCATTTCGGTCATGCAGGCTCCAGTGCCCTCACAAATGGACTAAGGCTGTTGTTGCAGGAGTGGGTTTGCTTGATCTCCCCCACTTCTCTCTTTGCCTTTCTGCCATGTGATGCCTTCCATCATGTAATGATGCTGAAAGAAGACCCTCCCCAGATGGTGACATCTTGATATTGGACTTCCCAGCCTCCAGAACCAAGAGCCAACACATTTCTGTGCGTTATAATTACCCAGCCTATGATATTCTGTCACAGCAACACAAAACAGACTAAGACAAGGCAGTTCCAGCCCCATAGGCTTTGCACCTGCTGTTCCCTCTCCCTTCACTGAGATCTTCCAATGCTTGGCTCCTTTGCTTTATCCATTTCTTTCTCTCTCTCTTTTTTTTTTTTTTTTTTTAAGACGGAGTCTTGCTCTGTCACTGAGACTGGAGTACAGTGGTGTGGTCTCGGCTCACTGCAACCTTCGCCTCCCGGGTTCAAGTGATTCTCCTGCCTCAGTCTTCCAAGCAGCTAGGATTACAGGCACCTGTCACCACGCCCAGCTAAGTTTTGTGTTTTTTAGGAGAGATGGCATTTCCCCATGTTGGCCAGGCTGGTCTCCAACTCCTAACCTCAAGTGATCCGTCCACCTCAGTGTCCCAAGGCCCTGAGATTACAGGTGTGAACCACCACACCTTGCCTACCTATTTCTTAAATTTTAATTTTTAAAATTATTTTAGAGACAGGGTCTCACTTTGTTGCACAGGCTGGACTGCAGTGAAGAGATCACAGTTCCTTATGGCCTCAATCTCCGAGGCTCAAGTGATCCTCTCACCTCAGCCTCCCAAGTAGCTAGGACTACAGGCACACACGACCAAGTCCAGCTAATTTTTTTTTTTCTTGTTTCTTTTTTTGAGATGGAGTCTCGCTCTGTCGCCCAGGCTAGAGTGCAGTGGCGCAATCTTGGCTCACTGCCAACTATGCCTCCCGGGTTCACACCATTCTTCTGCCTCAGCCTCCAGAGTAGCAGGGACTACAGGTGCCCGCCACCACTCCCGGCTAATTTTTTGTATTTTTAGTAGAGCCGGGGTTTCACCATGTTAGCCAGTATGGTCTCGATCTCCTGACCTTGTGATCTGCCCACCTCAGCCTCCCAACATGCTGGGATTACAGGCATGAGCCACCATGCCCGGCCAACGCCCAGCTAATTTTTAAATTTTTTGTAGGGATGGAGTTCTCACTATGTTACCCAGGCTGGCCTGGAACTCCTGGCCTCTAGTGATCCTCCTGCCTCAGCCTCCCAAAGTGCTGAGATTACAGGCGTGAGCCACGGTCTAGCTATCCATGTTTTTTAACCTCCAAATTTCACCTATTCAGAAAGGTCTTTCCTGACCACCCCACTTAGCATAGACCCCTATGCATTTCTTATCACATTCCCCCGTCTGATTTTCATAGCAGAAGTTATTGCCTGCTTGATATTTCATTTTCTTACCTTATTTGCTCATTGCGTTTCTCTTTTATTAGACTGTAAGCTCTGAGAGAGCAAGGACCTTATTTAACACTATATATACCCTGTGCCTAAAGCAATGCTTGGCACATAGTAGACTTTCAATAAAGGGCGTTTCAATCAATAAATGAATCAATGAGCAATTCATCCCTCAGTCACAGCTCAGATATCTCCTCCTAGAAACCTTCCTGACTCCACAGGCTGACTTGTGACTTTTGCACCCTGGTTTGGAAGGCAGACTGAGGCTGATACATTTCTTCTCTTGGGATGACATTTTGCTATGAGATCTGGAAGGATGAGTTGTGACCAGCAAGAGCTGAAGTTATGAGGGAGAAGAAATTCTGGGTAAAGAACTGAACAGCCTCTGGGAGAGGCAAGCCTGAGAAACAAAGAAAGGGAGAGCAAGGGAGGAGACGGACAGAGGGAGGGAGGGAGAAAGCATAGAGTAAGAAGGACAGAATCAGCCGGGTGCGGTGGCTCACGCCTGGAATCCCAGCACTTTGGGAGGCCGAAGCAGGCAGATCATTTGAGGTCAGGAGTTCCAGACTGGCCTGACTAACATGGCGTCTCTCTTAAAAATACAAAAACAGTTAGCTGGGCGTGGTGGCACATGCCCGTAACCCCAGCTACTCAGGAGACTGAAGCAGGAGAATCGCTTGAACTCGGGAGGTGGAGGCTGCAGTGAGCCCAGATCGCGCCATTGCACTCCAGCTGGGCAATAGAGTGAGACTCTATCTCAAAAAAAAAAAAAAAAAAAAGAAGAAGAAAAAAAAAGAAAGAAAGAAAGAAAGAAAGAAAGAAAAGAAAGAAAGAAAGAAAGAAAGAAAGAAAGAAAGAAAGAAAGAAATCTCAAAAAAAAAAAAAAAAAGAAGAAGAAAAAAAGAGCAAAGAGGGCAGGCAGCAGCAGGAAAAGAAAGAAAGCAGCAGTGCAGGCAGCAGCAGGAGCAAACAGAGCAGAAAGAAAGAAAGAAAGAAAAAGAAAGAAAGAAAGAAAGAAAGAGATAAAAAGAAAGAACCAGAGAGAGCTGAAACAATAGCTGGCCCCAGGCTTAGCCTCAATTCCTGGCTTCTCATTCCTCTCTGTGTTTATTTTTCCAATAAACCCCCTTTTCCCTAAGGAAATTCCAGTGAGACTCTGCTTCGTGCATCCGAAAATCTCCTGGCTTAGCCAGTGCTTCTCTCCGTGCCCCCGCCATGCCCGCATGACCTCCATTACTGCAAGCATCATGCCGCGTTGCCATTATCCCCGTCCCTGTCTGCCACTCTTACAGGACCCTGCGTTCTTTGAAGAATAAGTCCATGGTCTTATTCATCTATGTTCCCAGCGCCCAGCATGAGCCCTAGTTCCTAGCGGGTGCTCAGTAAGTATTTATGAAGAAGGGATGCTTTTCTCACCCTTTTTTTTTTTTTTTCGGGGATCCTGATTTCCAACTCACCAGTTCTCAATTCCCCTCTTTTAGGTCTTCTTCCCCACCCATCATCTCTTCCCAAATTCACCTCATCCTCATTCAGGATTAAAGATCTCTCTTTTCACAGTTGTGTCACCAAACTCATCAGTTTTTCCACTCCCAGAGCTTCCTATCGTGGAGATGCTGTTTTCCAACAAACTCTGTTCTCCTCTTCTAAAATAATAGCATGTAAATTGGGCACACACCTGTCCAGCTAGAATTGACATTTCCCAGTCTTCCTTGCAGTTGGCCTAGGCCATGCACAGCAGTAATAGCCAAAATATCTAGCAATCGGCACTGCACAGGCGCTAGCCAATCGGAATGGACGTCTAGCCAGGAAAGGAAGTCTAGCCTATGGGAATGGACGTCTAGCTAATCAGAACAGGCATCTAGCTAATCCCAGCAGACGTCTAGCCAATCCCAGCAGACGTCTAGCCAATCAGAATGGACACCACTGTCAACAACCAGTAAGCCAGCCCTGACCATATGACTACCTTCTCAACAGTAAGGTATGAGGTGTGTCCTTTCTGCCTCACTTACTCAAAAGGAAAGTGCTTGCTGTCCACTTCCTCTCTTTTCCCCCTCTCATGAGCTGCAATTCAGACATCCGCACGACCTGCTTCGACTATGCAGAGAGGCCAGAGCAACCAGGTGGTAGGACCCTGGGTCCCCGAATGATCACATGGAGCAGCAGTTTCCTGATAACCAGGAATGCTCATCTCTGGGTTCTTATGTGAAAGAGGAACAAACTTCGACCTCATCTGCGCCACTGGATTGTTGGGTCTTTTGTGCTGCTGAAGTTCAGTTTATAGTCTAGGTATTTAGACTAAATCTAAAATGCTCTGAAGTATAAGATGCACCACAAAGAAGAACAAAAGTGCTGCCAATTAAGCCATGATAAGCCATCAATTATGAGACACATCTCGTTTTCAAATACATTAAAATGTGAAAAATTATGCATCTTAGAGTCATGAAATATAGTAATTCACTCACTTCATCTCAGACGCTTTTTCCAAATTACTTGATTTAACCTCAGAAAAGAGACCCAGTTGCACCCACTTTACAGAAAAGAAAATTGAGGCTCAAAGAGCGGATGTGAACCATCTAAGCCACTCATTCAGTGAATACTGCAGGTAGTTAGGCTCTGGGAGCCCTCCCACACCCCTACCACTCCAGCCCCACTCACCTATGCAGACTCTCGCCGCGGTGGGTGCGGTTCTGGGCGCGACAGTCGTGGCCGAGCTCAGGAAGGAAACCATAATCACGCAGCAGGGCCTGGGCACCTCTGGCCACTACGGCCACGCCAGCTGCCACTCGCCGAGCCAGGTCATCCCGCCAGCCAGCCGAGCGCACTGCAAACAGTCCGGCAGGAAGGGGGGCGCCTCCTGGCAGAAGAGGGGGCTCACCAGGGGCCCCAGAGCCCCCGCCTCCAGCCAGCTGGGGCCCCACCATGAACCAGACGTAGCCAGACCCAGTGAGGCCAGCCTCCTCAGCTGCGCGGAACACGGGCTCGGCCTCCTCTCGGGCGCAGAAGAGCAGGCGGATCTGAGCGCTGACACTGCGGAGCTGGGCACTGAGCACCGCCTCGCCCGCCCCAGGGTCCAACGTCAGCGCTCCGCGGTGCTCCCAGCCCACCAGACTGCCGTCAGTCAGCACCTCGATGTAGGACAGGAAGGCCCGGTGGCCAGGGGCACGCGTGGTCACGGCTACAAAGGACGTCCAGTCGTATTCCTCCAGCACCTCAAAGATGACCTGAAGCTGTTGCTCGGTGGAGGAGCCCAGCTGCAGGAAGGTGGAGCCCTTCTCCTGCCAGGAGGGACGAGGATGTCAGGACTCCCGATGTGGGGACCTCATTTCTCAGCAATGAATAAGAGGACCACAGCTCCCAATATGGCAGACTGACTAGATAGGTTCACTAAATCCATCTCCTTTTCCTCCTGAGGCACAGGGCTAGATCTGGATTAGGCTTAGCCACGTGACTGAGTTATTCTAGACTCATCCATAAAACCTTACTTTTTTTTTTTTTTTTTTTTTTGAGACAGAATCTTGTCTGTCGCCCAGGCTGGTGAGCAGCGGCATGATCTTGGCTCACTGCAACCTCCGCCTTGTGGGTTCAAGTGATTCTCCTGCCGCATCCGGCCTAATAAAACCTTACTCTTTTTTCTTTTTTTTTTTGAGACGTTGTCTCGCTCTGTCACCCAGGCTGGAGTGCAGTGGCCGGATCTCAGCTCACTGCAAGCTCCGCCTTCCTGGTTCACGCCATTCTCCTGCCTCAGCCTCCCGAGTAGCTGGGACTACAGGCGCCCGCCACCTCACCCGGTTAGTTATTTTGTATTGTTTTAGTAGAGATGGGCTTTCACCATGTTAGCCAAGATGGTCTCGATCTCCTGACCTCATGATCCGCCCATCTCAGCCTCCCAAAGTGCTGGGATTACAGGCTTGAGCCACCACACCTGGCCAAAACCTTACTCTTGAAGCTTACTCTTTTCCCTGTTTGAGGGCAGATGCAGAGGCCCCAGAAAACTCTGAAGTCCTCTGAAGGGGATTACAGAGCCACAAGAGAGAGAGCCTGAAACCCTGAGTCACCGGATTACAGAGCCACGAGAGAGAGAGCCTGAAACCCTGAGTCACCGGATTGCAGAGCCACGAGAGAGAGAGCCTGAAACCCCGAGTCACCGGATTACAGAGCCACAAGAGAGAGAGCCTGAAACCCCGAGTCACCGCATGGAGGAAAGCCACCTCCAATCAGGAACACCTGTCTGGATTTTTTTTGAGACGGAGTTTGGCTCTTATTGCCCAGGCTGGAGTGCAATGGTGCAATCTTGGCTCACTGCAACATCCGCCTCCCAGGTTCAAGCAGTTCTCCTGCCTTAGCCTCCCAAGTAACTGGGACTACAGGCGTGCGCCACCACGCCCGACTAATTTTTGTATTTTTAGTAGAGACATGTTTTCTCCATGTTGGCCACGCTGGTCTTGAACTCCTGACCTCAGATGATCCACCCGCCTCGGCCTTCCAAAGTGCTGGGATTACAGGTGTGAGCTACTGCGCCTGGACTGGATTTTATGTGAATGATAAATAACCTCCTGTTGGGTGGTCCACTGAGATTTGGGAGTTCATCTGTTCCGGCAGTTAACATCACTGTCATTAACACAACCAGCATCCAGTAAGGGAACTACAGCTCCCAGCACCCACTGAGAGGGACTGGGTCCCTGAAGGCAGTGAGGAGACTACATCTCCCAGCATTCAATGAGGGTGCTGATGGCATTTCCCAACTGGAAGAAGCTTTGCAAAGTGTACTTTCCCTTCTTTGGTTTTCCTCCTACCTCTCTGTCACCTCTTCCTCTGCCTCCTTTGCTGGCCCTTCTTCCTCAGCCAGAATGCTAAGTGTAGGAGTGCCTTAGTGTTCTCTTGTCTTCTTGATTCCTCTCTCCCTGGTGATCTCAACCAGGCCCACGAGTTTAAATACTGTCTGCCACGCTATCCAATATGGTGGCTGTTAGCCACTCATAGCTATTCAAATTCAAATTCAAATTCAAGTTAAATAAAATTTATCCTGAATCAAGGACCAGAGGAAAAAACTATTAAATAGAATTTAAAAGTTAGTTTTCTGGTTGCACTAACCACATGTCAAGTACTCAACAGCCACATGTGGCTTGTGGCTTTCAAATTGGACAGAGCAGCTATAGACCACCTTCATCTTTGCGGAAGGTTTTATTGGACAGTGCTGGATATGCTAATGGCTCCTGTCCTCAGTCATAACCTCTCGTGTGAGCTCCAGACAAACCTATGCCCCTGCCTTTTTTTTTTTTTTTTTTTGAGACAGAGTCTTCCTCTGTTGCCTGGGCTGGAGTGCAATGGCACAATCTCTGCTCACTGCAACCTCCGCCTCCCCGGTTCAAGCAATTCTCTTGCCTCAGCCTCCAGAGTAGCTGGGATTACAGGCGTGTGCCACCACACCCGGCTAATTTTTGTATTTTCAGTAGAGAGGGGGTTTCAACATGTTGGCCAGGCTGGTCTCGAACTCCTGACCTCAAGTGATCTGCCTGCCTGAGCCTCCCAAAGTGCTGGATTACAGGTGTGAGCCAACACGCCTGGCCCTATCCTCCTTTTTATTCAGTATTTCCTGTTGGATTTCCAAGAGGTGTCTCAAAATTAGCAGAATGCTTGATCTTTCCCCTGTCTTAAGCCTGTTCTCTATTCTCTCTCTCTCTCTTTGTAAAGGAGTAAAGAATCTAAAGGAATAAAGAGCACAGCTACCTTTTCTTTCCTCTCTCTCTCTTATTCACCCTGATGCTCAGGTCCCAGACCCGCATCATCCTTTCCCTTTCTTTTCCTCACACATCCAGCTATCTCCAAGTCTTCTTAGCTCTACGTTCAAACATAGCTCCAGTTGTCCACTCTTCACTGCCATCACTGTCACAACTTTCATTGTCACCCTTTCTTGCCCAGCTATCTATAACGTTCCCACCCATCTGTGTTTTCCCTTCCTCCCTCCCTCCCTCCCTCCCTCCCTCCCTCCCTCCCTCTCTCTCTCTCTCTCTCTTTCTCTCTCTCTCTTTTTTCGGAGTCTTGCTCTGTCGTCCAGGCTGGAGCGCAGTGGTGAGAACTTGGCTCACTGCAACCTCCACCTCCTGAGTTCAAGCGATTCTCCTGCCTCAGCCTCCCGAGTAGCTGGGATTACAGGTATGCACCACCACGCCCAGCTAATTTTTGTATTTTTAGTAGAGAGAAGTTTCACCATGTTGGCCAGGCTGGTCTCAAACTCCTGACCTCAAGTGATCCACCCGCCTCGGCCTCCCAAAGTGGTGGGATTCCAGGCATGAGCCACTGTGCCCAGCTCATCTTTGTTTTCAATCTTGCATCTTCCAGTCTATTCTCCAAACAGCAGCCAGAGTGATTGTTTCAAAATATTAATTGGATCACATCCCTTCTCAGTTGAAAACCTTCCAGTGATTCTACCTCAGAATCAAAGCCAAAGTCCTTGTCATGGCCCTGCATGACCTGGCCCCTGTTGCTTCTCTGACCTCTCATCTCCTGCCACCCCAATCCCCCAATGTGCTCCAGCTACACTCCCTTCTTGCTCTTCCTCAAATACATCAAGCTCCTTCCTGTTTTAAGGGCTTTGTCCTTAGTTGTTGCCTCTCCTGGGGACACTTTCCCTAGCTCCTCCATGCCAGACCTCCACCTGACACCTCCAGCTCAGATGTCACCGCTTCAGGGAGGCCTCCCCTGACTGCCATCTGTTGAAACTCCATCCTCAGTCATTACAACATCCTGTGTTGATTTCCTCTAGGACTGCCATATTTTACTGTTACTGGTTTTGTGTGTCTCACCATTAAAATGCAAGCTCTATAAGGCAGGGACCTTGTATCCCTCTCTTTTTTTCCCCCCCTCTAGAACTGTATTCCCCAGGAATTAAAACAGCCCTGGCACAGAATCAGCTCTCAACAAATCTTCCTGTAATGCAATGAGAACAGCAAGTGGGCTTTTTCCCTAGGCTCATGCCTGTGGTAAAATGCGTAGGGGACACTGCAGCTGTCCTGAGGAGATGAGGTCTTTTTATTTATTGTTTTCTTTGAGACCTAGTCTCACTCTCCCCCAGGCTGGAGTGCAGTGGCACGATCTCGGCTCACTGCAATCTCGGCTCACTGCAACCTCCGCCTCCCAGGTTCAAGTGATTCCCATGCCTCAGCCTCCTGAGTAGCTGGGATTACAGGCACGCGCCACCACGCCCGGCTAATTTTCGTATTTTCAGTAGAGAGGGGGTTTCTCCATGTCGGCCAGGCTGGCCTCAAACTCCTGACCTCAGGTGATCCGCCCGCCTCGGCCTCCGAAAGTGCTGGGATTACAGGGGTACGCCACGGCAGCTGGCCGGAAATGAGGTCTTATTGTAACGCAAGGAGAACCTCTTCCTTCAGTAGGTGAAGGTGTGCTGAGGGGACCACATTCCCAGCATTCAATGGGGCACAGATGGAGCTGCGAAGATCACTCTTTCTTCCATCCGGGGGCAGCATGGGGACTACATTTCCCAGAATGCTATGGGCGTACACTGAGCCGACCACAGTGCCCAGCGGATAATGAAACAGAGCGGACCACACTTCTCAGCAGCAATGAAGGCACGAGGGATCACGTCTTTGAGTATGCCTCGGAAGTGGCAGTTAAATAAGTTTGCCTCCCAGGGTATCTACCTACAAATCTCTGAAAAGTACCATGCCAAGGGGTACAAAAAAGTTGGACAGAGGTCCTTCCCAGAACGCTCTGGACAGGAGTACTAGGAGCCTCTGCATATAACAGTGATGCAGTCACACAGCCGCAGGCCCGCACAGCAGGGAATGGGCAGATTGAATGAAGCTCCACCCACTCAGGTGGCTCCATCGTCTGGGTTGCATTGGCCCCACCTCTGAAGAGGCCCCGCCCCTTCTCAGGCCCCACCTCCTAGCTTACCCATTCTTCTCAATCCACTGGGCAGGCTTCGTCCAATTCTCTCCTTCTCTACCAGAGGTCCGCCACAACTGGCTCCTTCTGTGCCCTTGGGAGTCAGGCCTTTCTCCAGGCTCTGGCCAGCTCCAGCCTCTACCATCCCTTCCCCAGCAGGCTCCTGGCTTTGATTTCTCATTGGCTGGGTCCACCTCCACCATAAGCCTTCATCCTCCTGCCCATCCTCTGGACTCTAGCTTTCCACACCTCACAGCGGGTACACCCCTTCTCAAACCCTACTCTCAGGACCGGCTTCCTCCCTAGACCAACCCCTTTATTAGAGTGCTTAGGCCCCGCCCCTACCTGGCCCCGCCCTAACTGGGTAGCCCCGCCCCCTTCCCCGACTCACTCCTTCCCTGACTGGCCTCGCCCTAAACCTCAATTCCTTGCTTCCTGGTTCTACCCCTTGCCGGTCCTCCTCTCTCTCATGACTCCTCCTCTTTTCCGACTCTTCCACTTAGAAGACGGTTCCTCCATCCTAGCCTACCTCTAGACCCTATGCTCAACCGGCCGAACGCCTCCCCAAACTCTGTCCTTGGTACCTGATACCTCTGATACTTCCTGGCTGCCACCTCTCCACTAGACTTCACCCCTTTCTTTCTGAACTCCATTTCTTTTCTTCTTTTTTTTTTTTGGACAGAGTCTTACTGTGTCACCCAGGCTGGAGTGCAGTGGCACGATCTCGGCTCACTGCAGCCCCCGCCTCCCGGATTTAAGCAATTCTCCTGCCTCGCCCTCCCGAGTAGCTGGGATTACAGACGCCCGCCACAACGCCCGTCTAATTTTTATATTTTTCAAAGAGACGAGGTTTCACCACGTTGGCCAGGCTGGTCTCAAACTCCTGTGCCCTCAAGTGATCCGCCGGCCTCGGCTTTCCAAAGCGCTGGGATTACAGGCGTGAGCCACCGCGCCCGGGCCCATTCCTTTTCAACTGACTTCTTCCTGCGCTGATCCTAGATCCCACCCCTCCCTCAGATTTTGCCATCTGGAGCTAGTCCCTTTTCGTTACCAGTCCCCAACCCTTCCCTCGATTCGCCTTTTCCACAGACCTTTACCTACAATGAATGGGCCCACGTCCTCCCTATACTCTGATCATCGAGGACTGGCCTCTTTCTGACCCTAACAGCCCAGGTTACCCTACAGACCAGCCCGCTCCAAGTCAGCCCCGCCTCTTACCTAGCCCTAAGCCCTGCCTGCCATCTGGGCCCGGCTTGTCCCAGATGCGGACCCACAGGACAGTCCCCGCCCCCTCTAGGCCCCGCCCCCGCTGGCTGTCCCAGACCCGCCCCTCAGCGGCTGTCCCCGCCCATCCTGTGGCCCCGCCCCTCCCCCGGTCGCGCGCACCTTGGGCGTGAGCACGAGCGCGGCGCCGCCGTGCACGGCCACGATGGGCAGCGAGGTCTGCGCCGACAGGAAGTCGAGGATGGGCGCGACGGCGGGTGCGCGCGAGTCGTCCTCGAAGACCACGCCGTGCACGCGCAGCCCCGACAGCAGGTCGCAGAGCTGCAGCACGAGGCTGCGCGGGTCCGAGCCGTTGAGCACCAGCGCCACAGGCCGCACGTCCAGGCCCGGGCTGCGCACGGCCGCCGCCACGGCCGGGCCCAGGCGTGCCGCCTCGGCCGCGTACGCGGGCCCCGAGAACACGAGCGCCACGTTGAGCGGCCGCGCCCCGCCGGGGCCCCCGCCGAGCCCACCGGCGCCGCCCGGCCCCGGCGCCTCCTCCGGGAACGGGCTGGCGCAGGCCAGCGCCAGCAGCAGCAGCATCTTAGCGGGGCCCCGAGGGCCGCGGGGGCCACCGGCGCCGCGCATCGCCTGCGGGCCCAGCCGGGCGGCCTCTGAGCGCCAGGGCCGGGAGAGACAGAGAGGAGAGGGAGGCACAGACGGGAGACGCAGAGACAGGGAGACGAGATAGAGAGACACACCGAGGAGATGCAGCGAGGGACAGGCGCCGAGATGGGGAGGACAGGGAGCGGTCGGGGTGATGGAACAGAGGGAGAGACAGGAACGGAGGACGAGAGAGATGGAGGGGAGAGAGACAGAGGGAGAGACGGGCAGAGGGCCAGAGAGATGGAGGAGAGACAGGCAGAGACAGAGGGAGAGACAGACACAGCAGAGGGAGGTGGGAGAGAGAGGTGGGGAAGAAACACCAGAGGAAGAGGTGAAACAGGGAGAGACGCAGAGATAGGGCGAGACAGAGGTAGGAAGAAGTGGTGTATGGGATTGGGGGAGACGCAAAGGGTGGATAATGGGGTCAGGGGAAGATACAGAGGTAAGAGGGGAGAGAGGAAGAGAGACAGATGAGGTGGGGATGGGGAGACCCACAGAGATGGGATCAAGATAGGAATAGAGAGAGACCCAGGGAGACAGGGAGGGAAAGAGTGGCAGGAAGAAAGGGAGAGACGGAAGAAGCAACAGAGACAGGGAGAAGACGGAGAGAGAGAGGACGGAGTGACAGAAATGAGGGAGGCCCAGGGAGAGGATGATAGAGGCGGGAAGAGATGCAGGAAGGCGGGAGAGATAAGTGAGGCAAGAAAGTTGGACAGAGAAGAAGACAGCAAGGCAGGAAGAGGGAGACGGAGACCCCAAGGCCGCCAAGAGACACGCACACAGAAGGGATGGGGAAACAGAATTGAGATTGAGGGAGGCAGGCAGAGCGGAGCGAAAACAGGAGGACAGAAATAGCGAGGCAAGGCCAAGATCGGGACCCCCACCAGCGAGGTGCCCAGCACAGACATGAAAGTAAGGCGGGGAAAGCGAGTGGCAGGAGGGAGCAGAAATAAAAGGGAGAGAAAAAATGAGAGAGGGAAAAGGGGTCAGGTGTGTGGGGAGAGAGAGAGAAAGAGAAATTAGTGGGGCACCCCAAGGAGAGAATATCCCTGCGTGACCTTACCCTTCACCCTGACCACAGACCCCTAACCCATTTTGTCCCTACTCTTGCCCCTGTCCCCTCATTCTCAAAGCAAGAGAGTCATGGCCCCAGCTGGGATGTGGGGTTGGGGGGCACAGCTGTGGAGAGCTGGGTGGGGCGGAGGGGTCCCTGGCACCCAGCCCGGAGCAATTTGGTAAATTAGAGGAAATACAGCCTCTCTTCCTGTGTCCCCTGTTGAATACTAGCTGCCTGGGGTGGTTGGGCTGGAAGCCAGGCTCCTGGGTCCTGCCTGGGACTGATGGAAGAGGGCACTGGGAGTCTGGACTCCTGGTTCCCAGAGAAGGACTGGAGTCTGCACTAGGGGCTTCCTGAAGGGGTGAGGGTCCAGACAGGGAAGGGTTCTTTCCTGGCTGTCAGGCTCCTGTCCGGTTGCCATGGTAGCGCAGGCCTCGTCCACCCCACAGACAGCCAGGGTGGGGGAAAGGCCTACCCCCACCCCCCTGCCTCTAGACCACAGCCCCTCCCCTCTGCCCACTACCTCACCTTCCCAGAGATCGCGGCCCCTGTCTCCCCAGGGAAGGGGGTGGGGGCTCCTAGTATGCCCATCCCTCCCCAGTCCTGGCTCCTCTTCGCCCCTCCTCTCCATTGCCCTTCCCCAAGCAGCTGGCTCAATCAGCGCTCAGAATAACCCCCCCACTCCGCCCCAAAATAACCCACAGCTGTGGCCTGGCCCCCGCGGGGTTAACACTCGCGCTCCCCTCCCTTCCCAGTGGCTGCTCACCCTCCAGCCCCTCCTCTGCCTCTCCCAGACCCACCCCTACCTGGCTTCTGCTCTTAGGGACCCCGGGTCCTGCTCCCTGCCGAGGCCCAGGAGGGCAGCCCCTGGCCCCACCCTTCTCACGGGGGCTGCATGCTCAGTTCCTTCCCACAGGGATTAGGGAGAGCAGCCTCCCCCACTCCAGGGACAGAGGAGGGACATCCCCAGTCCTCCAGGACTCTGAAGGCCCAGCCCCCAGAACCCACGCCCTCAGGGATCACAGAGTCCAGCCTCTCAACACCCCCCACCCCCACCCTCACCTCCATCTCCACCTCCTCATGAGCCTCCGTTTCCACTTCCATCTGCACAAGGCTAAAGTCCCTGACTCTCATCCCCTGCCCTGTCAGGGACTCAGGAGACTGAGCTCCCAGCCTGTCCTTCCTCAGTCAGAAGCGCTATCCGCTACCTCCTCCCATAAAGACCCAGGAGTCCTTCCGGCAGACCCTTCCTCCCCCAGGCCTTGGGAGTTTGGGCATTCGGTCCTATTCTTTCCCAGGACCCAGGAGGCTGGGCCCTCCTGCCCCAAGACTCTGGAACTCCAGTGCCCAGCCTCCTCTCCCCGCAGGAACCAAGAGTCCAGGTCCCCAGCTGCCCTCTTCCCCCAAGGACCCAGGAGTCTGGGTTCCCACTCTTCTCCTCCCTTAAGGTTTCAAACCCCATCATTCCCAACATCCTGGGTGCCCCCCCCAGCTCCAGCCTCCCTAGTCACCCCACTTAGATCCTGTACATAGCACAGCCTGTCCCCAAGCGGGGAGGAGGAGGAGGGTGCCAGAAATTCCTAGGGTGTCCCTGTCTTCATTGCCCCCCAACAGCATCCAACACAGAAGAGAGAAGCGGCCACTTTGATCAACAGCTCCCCCCCCCGCAACCTCGAGTTGTGCTGCAGACGGCATCCCGTTTCCTCCCCCCTCACCCCCCAACACACACAACACCGGTCTCTCCCCACCCGAATCCTGGTGCTTGGAAGAGGCTGTAAGGGTGTTCCAGAACCTTGAGGAAGGGGTGGGAGCTTGGGGCGAGGGGTGCTGGGGGCCTGGATGCCCTCAAGGTCCTTGGCAGGGGTATTAATAGCAGACTCATAGCTCTGACATGGGAGGGGAGAGCGAGAGGAGAGAGGGAGAGGGCCGGCCGGCGATGGGGAGGACTGATGCAGGGAGGGGGTACAGGGAGAAGTGAGATAGATGGAGACACAGGGATATGGGGCATCAGGTATGTGGGGCTGGGGAGAGGGAGTCAAGTGTCAGAGAAATGGGGGGCGTGAAAAGGTCTGAGGTGTAGGGACCTAGGAAAAAGGGGCTCAGAGAGGGAGAGACAGACAGGGTAGAGGAGAGTCCCTGAGGGACAGGGGAGCTAGGTGGGGGTCAAGACCCCTGCCCAGCATTCAACCCCCCTCCCTCCAAGAGGCTCCTGGCCAACTTCCCCTGTCCTAGATTTGGGGGTCCACATTCCCCCCCACCACCCCTGCATCCCCTGTCCCCGCCTTACCTTTTCATGACCCTGTTCTGTGGGGGGGATGGTGGGGGGGCCAGGACCGGAACCCGGTGTCCAGTGACCCCAAGATTCCGAGGAGGGCTCAGAGAGCCGATGTCGGGGGGCAGGCCCCGGGGCGGCGGCAGTGGTGGTGGCAGCAGCAGCGGCAGCCCGGACCTCCTGTCTGTCCCTGGCTCCGTCTCTCCTTCCTCTTCCTTGGTCCTGTCCTGCCCTGTCTCTCCCCCAAGGTTGCGGCCACCTGGACTAGGCGAGGACGTGGCTACACATGTTGCTCTGGAAGTTGGGCCCCGGACATTGCGGAGGCTGTCGGGGCGTCCTCTTGCCGCCCCGACCCCGTGGGGATCCCCCCTCCGCCCACCCGGGGTGCCCCCCTCTGCCGCTTCAGCCCCGGCTCCTCCCCCCTTTCCATGTGTCCAGTCCCACCTCTCCCTGGCTCACTCGCACCCCCGCTTTGTGCCCTCAGCCCCCCCACCCCCCCTTCCAGCGTCTGTGTCTGTCTGTCTGTCTGGGTCACCTCTGAAGCTGGTGGCTAGTGTGTGTGTGTGTGTGAGGAGCAGGAGATTGCCTGCTTGGGGAACTGCTTTTCCCTTCCTCGCTTGGCCACCTCCAGACCCCCCCAGACGCCCCCACTCTCAAACACAGGCAGAAACACACACACGCACACACGCACGACCTCACTTCCCTGGGATTCCCCAACACCCCCAGAGCTTGAGGAGGGACACACACACAGACACACACACACAGAGTGGGGGGTCTAATGGGGGCCAGGCTGCCACTGCCAATAGGGGCTGTTTGGACAGACAGGAGGACACAGGCAGCCGGGGACGCCCAGACGCCTGGCCGGACGCAGGCAGGAGGCACAGAACCCAGGTACACACCATCCATCTGGGTTTGGGGGGGCCAGGGGGAAGGAGCGGGGGCCCCATGACACCCAGGCAGGCGGCTCAGGGTCGGTATAGACAGACCCCTCCCTCCCTCCACCGCCGCAGCGCTTACAGACACACCCCCCCTCCACCAGCCAGCCTCAGACACCCGGACATACAGATCCTCACCGGGCAGATGGCAGACGCTCGAGAGACCCCTGGGGGCCAGGCGGACCCACCCAGGCGACACCCCCCAGCAGGGCACCGGTGGCCGAGGGAGGCTGCGGGAGGCTGCGGGCGAGGGTGGCGGCGGCGGCCGCGGCTTGGAGGAGCCGGAGCGGGAGGGACTCACACACTTGCTGTGTTCTCGCACACACACACTCACTCGGGATGCGATTAACATTCAGTCCCCGTCCGCCACTGCCGGGAGACCCACAGCCCCCCCTCCTGGCCTCCCTGGGGACCCCTCCTCCTGCCAGGCTTGGGGAGGGGGCCGCCCCCCACCCCCAGCTACCAGCCTCTGCCTTCCTCCTGGGACAGGGGAGTGAGGGGCTGAAAATAAAACGGAAGGAAGACGTCGGGCTGGGGACCGGCAGGCAGGGACTCAGAACCCGGTATGGAGACATCAGCTTCAGAGCTAGACTTCAGGTCTGGGGGTGGTTGCCCTCTGCCCCATCCCTGCCTTGAGGCTCTGGAAACAGGAGGCCTTTCCCTGACTTCAGTGTTCACCATACTAAGACCCAATCTGTGGCTTTTATTGCCCCAGAAGGCCAGGCCTGAAAACCAGGTCTCCACCGTGGACCCAGGAGTCCCGCCCCCCGGTCCCTTCTCCCTCAGACCCAGGAGTCCCTTCTCCACTGGGACCCAGCAATTTGGGGCCCGCCTCCAAGTCAGAGTCTCTTTTAAGGACTCTGTCATCCCGACTCTCCCCCAGTACAAGCCACCTTCAGGGACCCAAGACTCGTGGATGTCCCCCTTGGGTACCCAATCCTTCCAGCCCTCTGAAGAAACCAATATGCCTGCTCCCCTTCTTTTATTGAGGGACCCTGGCCTCCATCACCTGTGGGTACCCCATCATCCAGAAGGGAAGCAGCATCTGTCTCCTCGTAGATGCAGGAGTCCAGACCACAGGCTGTTCCCCGAGGGTCCCACACCCGGATGCCCACTATTCCCCTCCTAGGGGGCTGGGCCCGGCACTTTTATAAAGCCACCGTGCGGCTCTAGGGTAGAGCATGGGGCAGGACAGCTGGGCCTCTGAGGGTGGAAGGGGGTGTGTGTGTGTGTGGGCAGGGCAGAAATTCTGGAGCGGGGGGAAGCCAGGGCCAGGGGCTCCTGAGGTAGTTTGGGTCAGAGTTTCAGCCTTGAGCCTCCTAGGTGGGGTTCCTGTTTCCTTCATCCTCAAGGTCTGGAAGAGCAGGGTGAGGTGCACATTCCTGAAAAAGAAGAGAATCAGGGCCTAAATGTGTGGGTCGTAAAGGGAGAAAGAAACCGTAGATCTAGATTCTTAAGGTTAGGAAGCTTGAGCCATAAGATGGTGGGGGTGGGACCCTAAGTTCCAAGGAACAGCATCCTAGGAGAGAAAAGGGCTGCGGCCCTGGACTGCTGAGTCTCAGGGAGGAGGGGCCGGGGGCCTGGACTCCTGGGTCCGAGGGAGGAGGGGCCGGGGGGCCTGGACTCCTGGGTCTGAGGGAGGAGGGGCTGGGGACCTAGACTGCTAGGTCTGACGAACGGGCTGGGGCCTTGAGTCCTGGGTCTAGGGGAGGAAGTGGGTGGGGTATCTTTCTTGTCTTCTAGGGGATTGGAGCTAGAGTGCCTGAAAGGGGCAGAAGCTGGCAGCTGAGCCTCTGGGTTCCTGCAGGATTTTTAAAGCTCAGAGGGCAGCCTCTACATCCCTGCAAGGGCTGAGGGTGGTGTACTGGACTGCGTCCCTTCCAGAGACACAGACTGCCTGGGCAAGCCGGTGCCGGATTTGGCACTTTCCAAACCCTGCGACCCTCCCAAGTTCCTAAGGGGCAGCTTTGGGGGTGCATTTAGCGCCGCCACGGCAAAGCAGGAGGTGGGCGATAGGGGGCGCCGGGGATCCGGGCCCCGCCCTCGGGGGCGGAGCCTCCCGGCCCGGACTCCTCCCCCTCCCGCTCTCCTCCCTCTTCCCGGCTCCAGCTCCGCCGCCAGCTCCGGCCTTTGCTCCCCCTCCCAGAGTCCCCTCCCCGGAGTGGAGCGCACCTAGGGTCCTTCTCCCTTCCCCCCAGCCCAGCCTCCCGTTCAGACCAGCAGCCTCGGGGGGCAGCCCCCCGCCAGCCTGCCTCCCTCCCACTCAGCCCTGCCAGGGCCCCCCAGCCATGAATCTCTTCCGATTCCTGGGAGACCTCTCCCACCTCCTCGCCATCATCTTGCTACTGCTCAAAATCTGGAAGTCCCGCTCGTGTGCCGGTGAGAGGCCCACCAGGGCTGGCGAAGGAGAGAGATTGAGGGCGGGGGTTGGGGGCGTCCCAGGACTCAGGCAGGGTTTGGGGGCACTAGGGGCACAGGTTCCACCCCCACTGCTTGCTGGGGATCTCTCTTCTAGGTTCTGGGTCTCCAGGGGATCAGCTCCCTTCCCCAGACTGGCGGGGGTGCATACAGTTTGATGTGAATGGCTTTAGGCCCCCAATTCAGCCACCCCCAGCCCCAGTCTGGGCAGCCCGAGGGTTCACGGACCGGGAACAGGGAACCATGGCAGGCGGGGAGGTGGCTGTGAGTTGGTGACGTGGACCGTGGCGGCCAGGAAGGGAACGGGAGGAAGGTGACCAGATCGGGGGGCTGAGGTCAGGGGAGGTCCTCCCTAGGCCCCACCTCAGGTCCGGACTGAAGGAGGACCCTGAGGGGGTCAGGGGTGGCCATGAGGCCTAGTCTGGGACGGAGCCTCGGGCTGGAGTAGCTTCGGGGGCCTGGGCTGCCCCCTGGCTGTGGGCCGTGGGAAAGGGCCCTGATGAGGCGGGGCGGGCTGGGGAGGCCTCCGGGGACAGCTGCACTCCAGAGCTGCCTCCAGGCTGGTCCCGGGCGCCGTGCCTTAGTTTATTGCCCATGCAGCCCACCCCCAGCCTCCTCTCTCTCTTTCTCGCTCTCTCTCTCTCCCCCTCTCTCTCTCTTTCCCTCTCTCTGTCTCTCTCTGGACCACAGGAATTTCAGGGAAGAGCCAGGTCCTGTTTGCTGTGGTATTCACTGCCCGATATCTGGACCTCTTCACCAACTACATCTCACTCTACAACACGTGTATGAAGGTAGAGGCTCCTCCCCACCCCTCTGGCCCCCACTGAAGCACTGGAGCTGGGTGTGGGTCCCAGACTCCTGGGTCTGAGGGAGGAGGGGTTGGGGGTCTGGACTCCTGAGTCTGAGGGAGGAGGGGCTGGGGGCCTGGACTCCTGGGTCTGAGGGAGGAGGGACCGGGGGTCTGGACTCCTGGGTGTGAGGGAGGAGGGTCTGGGGATCTGGACTCCTGGGTCTGAGGGAGGAGGAGCTGGGGGCCTGCACTCCTGGGTCTGAGGGAGGGGTCTGGACTCCTGGGTCTGAGCCTGCTGGGGCACAGACCCTGGCCTGTGAGTTGAGGCCCCTTCTCATCATCCTCCTCCTCAGGTGGTCTACATAGCCTGCTCCTTCACCACGGTCTGGTTGATTTATAGCAAGTTCAAAGCCACTTACGATGGGAACCATGACACATTCAGAGTGGAGTTCCTGGTCGTTCCCACAGCCATTCTGGCATTCCTGGTCAATCATGACTTCACCCCTCTGGAGGTAGGCGCCTTGCTGTGACTCCTTATTTGGGGGGATGGTTGTGGCAGAGTAGCGGTGACAGGAGACCCTCTCACAGGCTTCCTTCTGCAGGGTATGCCCCAACTGCCTCATTTTAGGACGCATAAGTTCAGTGCATGGGCTGTGGGGTCAGAGGAGATTCACACAACAGCAGCAAGACTCACTATGTGTCAGTCGCTACCCTCAGCATTTCACCTACTTACCTTTCTCAGCAGCCCCATTTTACAGATGAGGAAACTGAGGCTTAGGGACCTTTTTTTTTTTTGGAGACAGAGTCTCACTCTGTTGCCCAGGCTGGAGTGCAGTGGCACAATCTCGGCTCACTGCAACCCCTGCCTCCCAGGTTCAAGCAATTATCCTGCCTCAGCCTCCCGAGTAGTTGGGAAGACAGGTGCACATCACCATGCTCTGCTAATTTTTGTATTTTTAGTCGAGACAGGGTTTCGCATGTTGACCAGGCTGGTCTCAAACTCCTGGGCTCAAATAATCTGCCTGTCTTGGCCTCCCAAAGTGCTGGGATTATAGGTGTGAGCCACCACACCTGGCCCAGCCTTCTTGAATTTGAATTCCAAATCTGCTAGTTTCTTTTTTCTTTCTTTCTTTCTTTTTTCTGAAACAGTCTCACTTGGTTGCCCAGACTGGAGGCAGTGGCACGATTCTGGCTCACTGCAACCTCCACCTTCCAGGTTCAAGTGATTGTCCTGCCTCAGTCTCCTGAGTAGCTGAGATTGCAGATTTGCCCACCACCATGCCAGTATAATTTTTGTATTTTTAGTAGAGACAGGGTTTCAACATATTGGCCAGGCTGGTCTCGAACTCCTGACCTCAGGCATGAGCCACCACGCCTGGCCCCAAATCTGCTAGTTTCTATTAGCATGATCCTGGGCATGTGACTTGACCTCTCTGTACCTCGGTTTCCACATTTGTAAAGTTGTGATCAGGTCATTGTGAGAATTTACTGAGATTTTGCAGCATTGCCTGGTGTCAGAACACATAAAGACTCTAGAATCAGAGTGTAAAGATTTGGATCCTGCCTCTACCACATAGCAGCTATGGGATTCTGGGCAAATCACATAACTACCCTGTGCCTCAGTTTCCTCATCTGTAAAATGGAGATAATCAGTTCCTGTGTCATTGGGTTCAAATGAGAGGTTGGTATGAATAAAGCACAGTGTCTGGGGTGAGGTAGGAAGTGCCGTGTCAGTGTTCAGTGACTGAAGTGTTTAGTCCCATCTCTCATACTTTTAAATGTTTGCTGTTACGATTTTTCATTCCATGATGTTTTTGCTGGAACCTGTACAAACTCCTGGGAGGAATTTTGGGAGAACCGATGCTAAGTTTGCGATCTCTTGCCTCCTGGGGCCTGGCAGGAATAATAAATTCAGGGCAACCTTTTCTTACCTATGCCCACTCCTGCCTTATAGGAAGATAGGCCTGGGTGGCCAGATGTGCTGATCTTTTCAACAGAAGCCATAATTCAGGAGTTTTCAGGCGAGATGTCGCATTTTAAAATTTTAGTCACAGATTCAAACTTTCTTTCTTTCTTTCTTTCTTTCTTTCTTTCTTTCTTTCTTTCTTTCTTTCTTTCTTTCTTTCTTTCTTTCTTGGGGCCTGGCAGAATAATAAATCTAGGGCAACCTTTTCTTTTTTTTTTTTTTTTTTTTTTTTTTTTTTTTTTTTGAGGCGGAGTCTTGCTCTGTTGCCCAGGCTGGAGTGCAGTGGCACTATCTCGGCTCACTGCAAGCTCCGCCTCCTGGGTCTACTTCATTCTCCTTCCTCAGCCTCCCGAGAGTAGCTGGGACTACAGGCACCTGCCACCACGCCTGGCTAATTTTTTTTTTTGTATTTTTAGTAGAGATGGGGTTTCACCGCAGCACAGATGGTTCCATCTCTGACCTCGTGATCCACCCATCTCAGCCTCCCAAAGTGCTGGGATTACAGGCTTGAGCCACCGCGCCCCGGCGGGCAACCTTTTTCTACCTATGCCTCCACTCCTGCCTTATAGGAAGATAGGCCTGCAGGCTGGGGATGTTGATCTTTTCAACAGAAGCCATAATTCAGAGTTTTCAGGCGAGATGTCGATTTAAAATTTTAGTCACAGATTCAAACTTTCTTTCTTTCTTTCTTTCTTTCTTTCTTTCTTTCTTTCTTTCTTTCTTTCTTTCTCTCTCTCTCTTTCTTTCTCTTTCTCTCTTTCTCTCTCTCTCTCTCTCTCTCTCTCTTCCTTCTTTCCTTCTTTCCTTCCTTCTTTCTTTCTTCCTTTCTTCCTTTCTTTCTTCTTTTTTTTTTCGAGACGGAGTCTCGCTCTGTCGCCCAGGCTGGAGTGCAGTGGCGTGATCTTGGCTCACTGCAACTCCCGCCTCCCAGGCCAAGCGTTTCTCCTGCCTCAGCCTCCTGAGTAGCTGGGATTACAGACGCATGCCGCCATGCTTGGCTAATTTTTGTGTTTTTAGTAGAGATGGGGTTTCGCCACGTTGACCAGGCTGGTCTCAAACTCCTGGTCTTAAGCAATCCTCCCATCTCGGCTTCCCAAAGTGCTAGGACTACAGACATGAGCCACTGTGCCTGGCCTTCAAAATATAGCTCTAAAAGCACTGTACAGGCCAGACAAATCCAACAGAGGGTGACTTTGGCCCATGGGTCAGAGATATCAGAGGGAAGCTGCATCATACTGTGGCGGGAATCCTGGACTTTGGAAATATATTGTTATCACCTTCCTTGGATCACTTATCCAAGCCCTTGACTTAACTCGTAACTGTTCTCTTGACTAGGGATTACTAGACCCATTTTGAGGATAGGGAGACTGACTGAGGCTGAGGGAGGTAGTGCGGCTTGCTAAAGGTGGAGGAGGCCAGACCAGAACCCAGGCCTCTTTTTTTTTTGAGCCTCGCTGTGTCGCCCAGAGTGTGGTGGCATGATCCTAGCTCACTGCAACCTCCGCTTCCCGGGTTCAAGAGAGTCTCATGCCTCAGCATCCCGAGTAGCTGGGATTACAGGCAGCGGCCACCATGCCCAGGTAAAATTTTTTTGTATTTTTAGGAGAGACGGTTTTGCCATGTTGACCAGGGTGGTCTTGAACTCCTGGCCTCAAGTGATCCGCCTGCCTCAGCCTTCCAAAGTGCTGGGATTACAGGTGTGAGCTGCCATGCCTGGCCTAAGGAAAATATTCTTAAAAAATTCAGACAGGCTGGGTGCAGCGGCTTATGCCTCTAATCCCAGAACTTTGGGAGGCTGAGACAGGTGGATCATGGATCACGAGGTCAGGAGTTAAGACCAGCCTGGCCAAGATGCTGAAACCCCATCTCTGCTAAAAATACAAAAATTAGCCGGGCGTGGTGGCACGCACCTATAATCCCAGCTACTCGGGAAGCTGAGGCAGGAGAATCACTTGAACCTGGCCAGCAGAGGTTGCAGTGAGCTGAGATCGCATCACTGCATTCCAACCTGGGTGACAGAGCAAGACACCGTCTCAAAAAAATAAAAAATAAAAAATAAAAATAAAAACTTCGACATCATGGAATAGATAAAAATGCAATAAGGTTGGGTGCAGTGGCTCACGCCTATAATCCCAGCACTTTGGGAGGCTGAGATGGGTGGATCACTTGAGGTGAGGAGTTCAAGACCAGCTTGGCCAATGTGGTGAAACCCTGTCTCTACTAAAAAAAAATACAAAAATTAGCTGGGCATGGTGGTGAGTGCCTGTAATTCCAGGCACTTGGGAGGTTAAGGCAGGAGAATCACTTGAACCCGCGAAGCGGAGGTTTGCAGTGAGCCAAGATCGCGCCACTGCACTCCGGCCTGGGTGACGAGCGAAACTCGGCCTCAGGAAAAAAAAAAAAAAAATGCAACAGACCTTCTATCTCTGCCTGAGCTATGACTCTATTCCCTAAAGGCAACCCCAGGGGTACGAGTTGAATGGGCATGAATTTCATGGTTTCGTGTCCCAGCAGCATCAACTAACCTGGCTTGACGAGAGCCTCCCTGGAGGATTCTAGAGGATTCTGGAGGATTCTGAGAGCAGGTCCTGGACTCTACCTGCCTCAGTGGGAATCCGGACACGTTTCTTATCCCTTGGGCCTCAGTTTCCTCATCTGTACAATGGGAATGACAGCAGTACCTACCTCATGGGGTTAAGGCTCAGGCCAGTGAACACCCTAAGGAGCAGTGCCTTGGATGTCGTAAATGCTAGAAAAGCAGGAGTTGTTATGAACAGGTCCTGGTGCCCCCACCTTCCTCCCACAAACCAAGACAGCCGAGGAGCCACACCTGCCACCTGGCTTTGCACTCTGAGGGGAGGTTTCAGTGTGTCTGCAGATCACACATCACCCCAGGTGGCACTTTCAGGGAGCTGGGAACTGAAAGGGGGCTGGCAGATGTCTTCTCCCCTGTCCCATGATGTCCTGTCCTGCTCACGAATGATGGTTGTCACTGCTCCCTAAATGGTGGCCTGTGCTGAGCACATGGGGACCCCTTTGTAGATGCTCGCTCCCATCTCCTCACTCATTCAAGAACTGTGCTAGGTGCTACGGCTGCGGGGTGAACAAGAAGTAGGATCCTAGCCTTCACGGAGTTCAATTGCTGGTGCGGGTGGCCAGGAAGGAGATAAGATGGTGTGACAGTCCTGGGGGAAGGATGGCCAGGGAGGGTCCCTCTCAGGAGGTGACTGATGAGCTGAGGCTGGGCGAATATGGAGTAGGCAGATGTGTGACAGTGTGGGAAAGAGCTTTTCCTGCTGCGGGAACAGCATATGCAACATGCCGCAAGAAATGGCATGTGGGCCGGGCGCAGTACGCCTGTAATCGCAGCACTTTGGGAGGCCGAGGTGGGCAGACCACCTGAGGTCAGGAGTTCGAGACCAGCCTGGCCAACATGGTGAAACCTTGTCTCTACTGAAAATACAAAAATTAGCTGGGTGTGGTGGCAGGCTCCTGTAATCCCAGCTACTCAGGAGGCTGAGGCGGGAGAATCGCTTGAACCCAGGAGGCAGAGGTTGCAGTGAGCCGAGATCTCTCCACTGCACTCTAGCCTGGGTGACAGAGTGAGACTCCATCTCAAAAAGAAGAAAAAGGAAGGGAAATTTCCAAAGCAAGATTCCAACCCAGCCTGCCTTTCAGAGAGGCTCGACTGCAAAGTGTTCATGAGGACGGACTGCAGATCCTTGGTTCGAATCATTGCTCTGCTGCTTGCTGGCTACATGGTCTTGGGCGAGTATCTTACCTTCTCTGGTGTCAGTTTCCTCATCTGTAGAATAAGTGTGCTAATCATAGGATCTCCTCGCCGGGCCATGGTGATGATTAAATCAGAGATACCAGTAACTCAGGCAGAACTGTGTGTGGCACGTGGCAGCGCCTGGACTACCTTCCTTCTCTCTCCACCTTCGCAGCACCTGTAACTGCCATGTCGTCCTCTGCCTTCTCCCCCGCCCTGTCCCCTCCCACCTCATCCTGTCCTTGGTCTCTTTGCAGATCCTCTGGACCTTCTCCATCTACCTGGAGTCGGTGGCCATCTTGCCGCAGCTGTTCATGGTGAGCAAGACTGGCGAGGCGGAGACCATCACCAGCCACTACTTGTTTGCGCTGGGCGTTTACCGCACGCTCTATCTCTTCAACTGGATCTGGCGCTACCATTTCGAGGGCTTCTTCGACCTCATCGCCATCGTGGCAGGCCTGGTCCAGACAGTTCTCTACTGCGATTTCTTCTACCTCTATATCACCAAAGGTAGCTGGGATGTGGGGCGGCTGGACGGGAACCTCCTATTTCTGCAGCTCCTGCCCTCCCTGGAGCCTGGGGTCTGTCTCCTTACCCCTGTATTATGCAAAGGAGGGAGCGTTTCTTCACCTGGTTTCTGGGCTTGCAGGCCCACCATCCTCCTAGGAATTCAGACCGTTAGCCTCTGTCCTTAGCCCCCGTGTCACTTGGAGTGCAGGCCAGGCAGGGCAGGGACTCAGCCCACTGAGATTCGTTCATTTATTCATTCAACGAACGTATTGAGCACTTTCTGTGTCCCCAGCCAGGTGCCAGGCTCTGGGGTTACAGTAGGAGGAGAAAAGACAGACAAAGACCTCCATTTCCCTTTTATTCTGGTGGAGGAGATGGTGAATGAACAAGTAAAGAGAGAGAATCGATCGGGCGTGGTGGTTCACACCTATAAACCCAGCACTTTGAGAGGCCACAGCGGGTGGACGGCTTGAGCCCAGGAGTTTGAGACTAGCCTGGGCAACATGGCGAGTCCCTGTCTCTACAAAAAAATAGAAAAATTAGCTGGGTGTTGTGGCGTGCACCTGTGGTTCCAGCTACTCAGGAGGCTGAGGTGGGAGGGTCCCCTGAGTCTGGGAAGTTCAAACCTGCAGCGAGCTGTGATTGCCTGGGTGACAGAGTGAGACCTTGTCTGAGAAAAACAAAACAAAACAAAAACCCTTAAAAAAATACATAGAAAGAGAATTGGCCAGGCACAGTGGCTCATGCCTGTAATCCCAACACTTTGGGAGAGTGCTTAAGCCTAGGAGTTCCAGAGCAACATAGCAAGACCCTGTCACTACAACAAATAAAACATTAAAAAATTAGCTGGGCATGGTGGTGCATGCCTGTGGTCCCAGCTCCTTGGGAGGCTGAGGTGGGCGAATTGCTTGAGGAGGTCAAGGCTGCAGGGAGCTGTGACTATGCCACCGCACTCCAGCCTGGGCTGTAGAGTGGGATGCTGTCTCAAAAAAATAAAGAGAATTGCCAGTAGCGAGAAGGGGTAGGAAAGAAAGAAACCAGGAATGTATTCGTGAGTCCCGGGGACCTCCCTCCCTGTGGACCTGCCCATCTAGTGTGCCTGCCCTGCTCTGGCTGTGGGAGACTGTCCCCTCCCTGCAGGGGCCCCAGCGGTAACGCCCTCCCTGTTTTCTCTCCTCACAGTCCTAAAGGGGAAGAAGTTGAGTTTGCCGGCATAGCCCCGGTCCTCTCCATCTCTCTCCTCGGCAGCGGCGGGAGGCAGAGGAAGGCGGCAGAAGATGAAGAACTTTCCCATCCAGGGGTGACTTTTTTAAGAACCCACCTCTCGCGCTCCCCATCCCGCCTCCTGCCAGGTTTCAGGGGGACAGTGGAGGATCCAGGTCTTGGGGAGCTCAGGACTTGGGCTGTTTGTAGTTTTTTGCCTTTTAGAGAAGAAAAAAAAAAAATCTTTCCACTCTTTAGTTTTTGATTCTGATGACTCGTTTTTCTTCTACTCTGTGGCCCCAATTTTTATAAAGTGTTTTTGAGTGTCCTGTGGGCCGGGGCAGGGTCCAAGATCTTTTCCCTTCCCCAGGCCCCTCGGCTCCCTCCCAGATCCCACCCCCAGCCCCACTGGTTGCCAAACACTAAATCTGCTGACACCCATCTGCCCCACCTCCTGCCGTGGCCATGAACCACAACCCCCCCTAAATTTCTAGGTTGGGGGTAGGGAGAAAGGGAGGCCCAGGAAGGTCTCCCCTGATTTTTTTTCATAGTAATTTTTTCCCCCAGAGTTTGAGTTTTTTCGTCTTCTCATGGTTTTTTGGCAAATTAGGGGGGCCCGGGGCTCAAGTGCAGGAAGGGGGCTGGGCCGAGGGTCCCATGGCTCTCACACCATGTTTTTGTACAGAACTGATGGTTGATTCTTTGTTCTCTTGAAATAAACAGAAGAAAATGAAACCTTTCTTTCGCTGCTCCTTGCCGCTCTGTCTCTGGCGTGTGTGGGGTCTCGCCCCTGCCCTTCTTTCTGCTTCTGCTTTTGCCTTGTTGACCATCTGCAGGCGATGAGGCCTGGGAGGAGCAGGAAGAGGAGAAACTGGGTCTCCCAAGACTCTCAGCTGTGCAGTTCCTTGTGGTGCTGCTGGGAAGAAGTTTTGGAGAGAATCTTGAAGAGTCTTCTTACCTTGGCACAGAACTTGTCTGATGGTTCTCCAAACCCTCAGGGTTGCAGAGGACCTTCACGAGCATTGGCTGGGCGCGGTGGCTCATGCCTGTAATCCCAGCACTTTAGGCGGCCGAGGCAGGTGGATCACCTGAGGTCAGGATCACCGGCCTGGCCAACATGGTGAAACCCCGTCTCTACTAAAAATACGAAAAAAATTAGCTGGGCGTGGTGGTGCACACCTGTAGTCCCAGCTACTCAGGAGGCTGAGGCAGGAGAACTGCTTGAACCCAGGAGGCGAAGGTTTCAGTGAGCTGAGATTGCGCCCCTGTACTCCAGCCTGGGGGACAGAGGGAGACCCCCCCTTCTAAAAAAAAAAAAAAAAACAGAGCATGTATGTCAGGGACCACACGTGGGCAGCCCCCGTCCCACCCTAACTTGACATTTTTTGTTGAGGCATTGTTTTCTTAAAAAAAAAAAACAAGAATGGGTCGCTAGCCTTTAAAAACCAGATTTTCACATTAAAGTCTAGAATCTAGATTTCTGGCTTCTCTTGGAAAAAAAAAAAAAAAACAACCATCAGTCTAACAATGCTGGGTCCTCATTTCTGGATGGCAACAGATGGCTGGATCTGAATGGATGGGACGCAGCTCTTTTCACCACAGTCCCCAGGACTTGGCTGCAGGCTTGTTACATTTATTATTGGGCTGACACCATGTGGTTATTTTTGTTTGTTTGTGAAGTTAAGAGGAAAGTGAAATATTTTCCTTGTCTCCAGATTGGCCTCACACCTGGCCTACTTTCTTCACTTATGTTACCTGCCTGGCTGTTGTTAGCTTTTGGATTTTTGACCCTTGACTAAGTCAAACTTCCTAGATGTCCTCTAAGACCTTCCTAAACTGTATAACTGCCTGCGGCTTCCCTGGAGCCTGGCTCTGGAAGCCTGAGGAGGCCGGGAGCTGGCGTTTCCTGAGCTCTTGAAATGGACCAGGCACGTGTGTTGCGTGGATGAGCTCCTGCGACCCTCACGGCATCCCTACAGAGGGGGCAGTTTGTGGATGAGGAAACAGGTTCAGAGGGGTGAGTGGCAAAGGTGAGCTTTGCACCTGGGCTTTGTGATGCCAAAGCTTGTGTGTTTAAACAACGCTATGTGGTTTTTCAGTGTTTTTTTGGTGGTTGTTTCTTTCTCTTAAGTCAAGGGACCTTCTGTTTAGATTTGTGCCTGGAAGCCCAATATGGAAAACAGGAGCAGGGCTGCTCACTCGCTGGGGTTGACTGGGGAAGGGGTTGTATTGCTGCCTGCTCAACCCAAGGCGCCTCTTTTTTTTCTTTTTTTTTTTTTTTTTTTTCCCCTTCCCCAAGTGGCAGAGTCTTGCTCTGTTACCCAGGCCGGACTGCGGTGATGCGATCTCACCTTGCTGCAACCTCCGCCTCCTGGGTTCAAGCAGTTCTCCTACCTCAGCCTCCCAAGTAGCTGTGACTACAGGTGCCCGCCACCACACACAGCTAATTTTTGTATTTTTTAGAGACGGGGTTTCACCATGTTGGCCAGGCTGGTCTTGAACTCCCAACCTCAGGTGATCCACCTGGCTCAGCCTCCCAAAGTTTCTGGGATTACAGGTGTGAGCCACCACGCCCGGTCTCCTTTTTGTATCTTTTGGTAGAGACAGGATTTCACCATGTTGGCCAGGCTGGTCTCAAACACTCCTGACTTTAAGTCTTCCAGCCTCAGCCTCCCAACTGCTGGGATTACAGGCGTGAGCCACCACACCCAGCCCCGAGGCATCTCTCTCTCTTTTTTTGTTTTTGTTTTTGTTTTTTTGAGACAGAGTCTTGCTTCATGGTCCAGGCTGGAGTACAGTGGCACAATCTCAGCTCACTGCAACCTCTGCCTCCCAGGCTCAAGCGATTCTCCTGCCTCAGCCTCCCGAGTAGCTGGGACTACAGGTGCCTGCCATTGTGCCCAGCTAATTTTCTTTTTTCTTTTTTTTTTTTTAATATAAAGTCTCGCTCTGTCACCCAGGCTGGAGTGCAGTGACGCGATCTTGGCTCACTGCAAACTCCGCCTCCCAGATTCAAGCAGTTCTCTGCCTCAGCCTCCCAAGTAGCTGAGATTACAGGCGCCCACCACCACGCCTGGCTAATTTTTGTATTTTTAGTAGAGACGGGGTTTCACCTTCTTGGCGAGGCTGGTCTTGAACTCCTTCCCTAGTGATCCACCTGCCTTGGCCTCCCAAAGTGCTGGGATTACAGGTGTGAGCCACTGTGCCCAGCCCAATTTTTGTATTTTTTAGAGGTGGGGTTTCACCATGTTGGCCAGGCTGGTCTTGAACTCCTGACCTGAGATGATCCACCCGCCTTGGCCTCCCAAAGTGCTAGGATTATAGGCATGAGCCACCGCGCCCGGCTGGCATCTCTTTGAACAGTCTGAAAAGCATCCATCTAAATCCGGTTCAATTCCTTAGCTGAATGCAGTGGCTCACGCCTGTAATCCCAGCACTTTGGGAGGCCAAGGTGGGTGGATCACGAGGTCAGGAATTCGAGACCAGCCTGGCCAACATAGTGAAACCCTATCTCTACTACAAATACAAAAATTAGCTGGGTGGCATGCGCCTGTAGTCCCAACTATTCAGGAGGCTGAGGCAGGTGAATCACTTGAACCTGGGAGGCAGAGGTTGCAGTGAGCCGAGACTGAGCCGTTGCACTCCAGCCTCGGTGACAGAGTGAGACTCCATCTCAAAAAAATAATAAATAAAAAACAAAAAACTAACTGGGCATGGCGGCCTGCACCTTTGGTCCCAGCTACTCAGGAGGCTGAGGTGGGAAGATTGTTTGAACCCAGGAAGTTGAGGCTGCAGTGAGCCGTGATCACTCTACTGCACTCTAGCCTGGGCAACAGAGATCCTGTCTTTGGAAAAAAAAAAAAAAAAATCTGTCTAGTTATTTAGTTTTATAGCCAATACAACTCAGGCCCAGTGACACACCCAAGCTTATCCAGAGGGATGTCTAGCGCTGAGTCCTTTCATTTCCGTGTCAGAACACTTCCTGTCTCCCTGCGCTGCTGCTGTTTTCTCTCTACGCCCAGTGGGACCACGTAGTTATTTCTACACCTCCAGGTACAGGGCCAGCCACACAGGAAGCCTCCAGAAAAGGACTAATGGAACCCAAATTTGATTCCCCACATCTCGTATCCTTTCGTCCGCTTTGTGAACTAGTGCTCTGCAGGCCACGATGGCCCCGGGCGGTGTGTTTCATTTGGCCTACCCAACGTTTATTTTGTATTTGTTGCCCACCGATTTCAATTTCTTTTTTTGAGATGGAGTCTTGCTCTGTCACCCAGGCTGAAGTGCAGTGGCGCCATCTCGGGTCCCTGCAACCTCCGCCTCCTGGGTTCAAGCAATGCTCCTGCCTCAGCCTCCTGAATAGCTGGGACTACAGGCACCCGCTGGTTGTAGTTAATTTTCGTATTTTTACAAATACAAATTATAAATTTTGTATTTGTTAATTTTTGTGTTTTTTGGTTAATTTTTGTATTTTTAGTAGAGGTGGGGTTTCACCATGTTGATCAGGCTGGTCTTGAACTCCTGACCTTGTGATCCACCCACCTCGGCCTCCCAAAGTGCTGGGATTATAGGTGTGAGTCACCACACCTGGCCTGATTTCACATTTTATTTTATTTTATTTGCAGACGGAGTCTCGCTCTGTTGCCCAGGCTGGAGTGCAGTGGCGCGATCTCAGCTCACTGCAACCTCCCCTCCTGGGTTCAAGCGATTCTCCTGCCTCAGCCCCTGAGTAGCTGGGATTACAGGCGCCCGCCACCATGCCCAGCTAATTTTTATATTTTTAGTAGAGACGGGGTTTCACCATGTTAGCCAGGATGGTCTCAAACTCCTGACCTCATGATCCACCTGCCTCGGCCTCCCGAAATGCTGGGATTACAGGCGTGAGCCACCATGCCTGGCAGATTTCACGTTTTAAAACCCCCCACAGAATGGATGTCCAAATTGTCGTAGAAAAACTGGAGTTTCTATAGCTGTACTGTCTGGTAGGGTGGCCAGTGGTTATGTGTGACCGTTGAGCCCCTGAAACCTGGCAAGTACACACTGAGGCGTGCTATTGGTGTAAATACACAATGGATTTCAAAAACTTAGTACCAAAGAGTGGAAAATGCCTCACTAATTATTTTTATGTTGATTACATGTTGAAATGATATTTTGGATATATTGACATAAATAAAATATTAAAATTAATTTCACTTGTTTCATTTTACTTTTTTCTTTTTTGAGACAGAGTCTCGTTCTGGAGTGCAGTGGTGTAATCTTGGCTCACAGCAACCTCCACCTCCTGGTTTCAAGTGATTCTCGTGTCTCAGATTCCCAAGTGGCTGGGATTACAGGCATACCCGACTAATTTTTGTATTTTTAGTAGAGACGGGGTTTCACCATGTTGGTCAGGCTGGTCTTGAACTTCTGGCCTCCTCAAGTCATCCGCCCACCTTGGCCTTTCAAAGTGCTGGGATTACAGGCATAAGCCACCACATCCAGCCTTGTTTTACTTTTCTCAATGTGGCCACTAGACTATTTTAAACTCTCCTTGGGTGTCACATCAGATTTCAAGTGGACAGCACTGTTCTAGAAACCCCAGGCTGGCCAAGTGGTGGCTCATGCCTAGAATCCCAGCACTTTGGGAGGCCAAGGCAGGAGGACTGCTTGAACCCAGGAGTTCAAGACCAGCCTGGGCAACAGTGAGATCCCATCTCTTCAAAAAATTGAAAAATTAGCTGGGAATGGTGGCACACACCTG